GGCATGTACATTGGTTGCAGGCATATCCCTGGTAGGGGTTGTGCAAGAGGCAACTGGACAATGTTTCTCTCTCATCGACGTTTCTAGCTCTCTATCTCTCTCCCTTCCTCTCTGTAAAAAATCAATAAAATATATTTTTAAAAATTCCAAGAGCAAAAGACAAAGAGAGAATATTAAAAGAAGCAAGAAAAAAGCAGTAGTTACCTATAAAGGAGCACCCATATGATTGTCAGCTGATTTCTCAACAGAAACCATGCAGGCCAAACAGGAATGGCAAGAAATATTCAAGGTGATGAAAAGCAAGAACCTACAGCCAAAAATACTCTACCCAGCAAAGCTATCACTCAGAATTGAAGGCCAGATAAAGAGCTTCACTAATTAAAAAAAAAAAAAAAAAAAAAAAAAAAAAAAAAAAAAAAAGGCTAAAGGAGTTCATCACTGCCGAACCAGAATTATATGAATTGCTGAAGGGGGTTATTTAGGAAGAGGAAGAAGATAAAGTTAAAAATTATGAACAACAAATACGTAACTATCAACAAGTGAAACTAAAAACCAAGGAAATTAAAAAACCTGATGAACAATATTAACTGGTGAATATAATAGAATCAGAGGTATGGAAGGGGAGTGAACTGACGATCCTTGGGGAAGAGTGGGGGGTGCAGGAAGAGACTGAACATAAACTGTGCACCTATGGATGAGGACAATGGGGAGTCGGGAAAGGGCAGAGGGTGGGGTGGGAACCTGGTGGAGGGGAGCAATTGAAGGGGGGGGGGAAGAGGAACACATTTGTAATCTGAACAATAAAGATTTATTAAAAAAAAAAAAAAGAATTGAACAAAACTTCACATAATAGGGCCTAGCTGGTTTGGCTCAGTGGATAGAGCTTTGGCCTGCAGACTGAAAGGTTCTGGGTTCGTTTCCAGTCAAGGCACATGCCTGGGTTGCAGGCTCAATCCCTAGTAGGGGTGTGTATGAGTCAGCTGATCAATGATATTTCTATCTCTCTCTCTCCCTCTCCCTTCCTCTCTGAAATCAATAAAAAATATATTTTTTTAAACTTCACAAAAAAAGGAAAGCCAAGGAAACAATGAACATTAATAAAGGTACTCAAATAGTAATCAGGGAAATGCAAATTAAGATCACAATGCATTTCAATACACACTCATCAGAATGGCTAAAATGAAAAAGAACACCACCAAATGTTGGTGGGGGTGTGAAGGAGAGGGAACTCTCAGACACTAGAAATTTGTCCAAACACCAGGAAAACTCTTGAACATATCCTATGACCCATCAATTCCACTCCAACCAGATGTGAACATTTATCTGCCAAAAGATAAATTCCCATCAGCAAACAAATGGATAAATAAATTGTAGCATCTTCACACACAGAAAACTATACAGCAATAAGAACACAGCCCCATGCAACAGAATGGGTGGATTTCACACACACACACACACACACACACACACACACACCAAAAAAAAAAAAAAAAAAAAAAAAAAAAAAAAAAAAAACTGGGCAGGCAGCAGACATGTGGCTTTATTTATATAAAGTACAAAAACAGACAAAATTCACCCATGTTAGAAGTCCAGTTAGTGATTACTCTTGGGGGCATCCTGGAAGAGGCATGAGAGCCATCTGAGGAGCTGCTCATGTTCTTTTCTTCAGCCGAGTTCTAGTTACCTATTGAATTCAGCGTATAACATTTCATCCAGCTCTTCATTTATGGCTTGTGTACTTTTCTGTACATATATTGTACTTCAAAACAGTTATTTTTAAAAAGTTACATCTTTATATACAGACATACATAAATTCCCAAGATGCATCACTGAATGAAAAAACAAGCTGTAAAAACAGTATGTGCACTCACTTTGGAAAACAGTATGGTAGTTCCTCAAAACTTTAAAAATAGAATTACCATATGACCCAGCAATTCCACTTCTGAGTATTGACCCAAAAGAACTTAAACAGGGTGTTGAGGAGAATTTGTACAACCATATTCACAGCAGTTTTATTCACAATAGCTAAAATGTCAAAGCAATCCATGTGTCTATCAACAGATGAGTGGTAAGACAAAAGGAAATGTATATAAACAATGAAATATTATTCAGCCTTTAAAAGGCAGGAAAATATGCCTGGCTGTTGTGGCTCTACCTATGAACCAGGAGGTCACAGCTCAATTTGTAGTCGGGACATTTGCCCAGGCTCAATCCCCATCATGCAGAAGCCAACTGATCAATGATTCTCTCTCGTTATTGATGTTTCTCTCTCTCTCTCTCTCCCTCTTCCTTCCTCTCTAAAATCAGTAAAGATATATATATTTTTTAAAATAAAAGCTTAACAATAAAAATAAAAAGCAGGAAAATCTGACATGTGCTACAACATGGATGATTTTTGAGGACATTATACTAAATGAAATAAGCCAGTCATAAAAGGACAAATACTAAATGACTCTGCTTATATGAGGTACATAGAGTAGGCAAATTCATAGAGAGAGAAAGTAGAATGGTGGTTGGTTACCAGGGGCTGGGGAGAGTGAAGAGGGGGAGCTGTTTTCTCATGGGTACAGAGTTTCAATTTTGCAAGATAAAAATAGTTCTAGAAATTAGTTGCACAATTATGTGCAAACACTTAATGCCACTTGATCTGTACACTTAAAAATGGTTAAGATGGTAAATTTTGTTAGGTGTATTTTACTACAAATTTTTAAAAGTTACAAAGTACATAAATAAATATTCAGTGTGATTCTTATAAAAAATGTGTAAAATATGTCATTTCAGTAACAACAAAAATCAACAATAATAGCAAATATTATTGTCCTTCCCATGTGCCAGGCATTTGTATTAGTAATCTATTGCTGAGTGACAAATTATCTTCCCAAACTTAGTGGTTAAAACAATTATTTATCACTGACATAGTTTCTGCAGGTCAGTAATCTGGCGATGGCTTGGCTGAGTGGTTCTGGCTCAGAGTGTCTCATGAAGTTGCAGTCAGCATGTTGGCAGACGTAGCGGTCACCTGAAGATATGCCTAAGGCTGGAAGATCTACTTCCAAGATGGTCACTCACATGGTGCTGGTTGTTGGCAGGATGCCTCAGTTCTTCCCCATTGACAGCTTTACTGTTGTTACATCATGATGGCTCGCTCACCTCTCAACATAAACTATCCAAGAGCGGATGCTTTTTATGGCTTGGTTTTGAAGTCCCTTAGCAGCACTTCTGCCACATTCCATTTGTTAGAAGCAACCTACCTAGTGCAGCCTATGCTAAGGGAGAGAGGAATTAGGCTCCACCTGGTGAAAGAATGAGAATCAAAGAACCTGTAAACATATTTTAAAACAGCTTCATACATTCATTAACTCCTGACAATAACCCAACAAGGTGGGTACCATCATTCATTCTCACGTCCCAGATGAGGAAACTGAGGTACTGAAGGTCACACAGAAGGGAAAGAGCCAAGATTGAAATTCAGGCAGTCAAACTGGGAAGTTATTATTAATCACTAAATCAACTGACAGAAGAAACTAATTGAAGAAAAAAATATTTAAGGCCCTGGCCGTGTAGCTCAGTTGGTTAGAGCATCATTCTAATATGCCAAGGTTGCTTGCGGGTTCTATCCCCATCAGGGCACATATGGAAATCAACCAATGAATGCATAAACAAGTGAACAACAAATCATTATCTGTCTCCCCTCCTCCCTTCCGTTCCTCTCTCTCTATAAAGATAAATAAGTAAAATTTTTAATTAAAAATATTTAAGAGCCGAAACCAGTTTGGCTCAGTGGGTAGAGCATCAGCCTGCGGACTGAAAGATCCCAGGTTCGATTCCAGTCAAGGGCAAGTACCTTGGTTGTGGGCACATCCCCAGTGGGGGATGTGCAGGAGGCAGCTGATCGATGTTTCTCTCTCATGGATGTTTCTAACTCTCTATCCCTCTCTCTTCCTCTCTGTAAAAAATCAATAAAATATATTTAAAAAAAATAATTAAGAAGGAGCATTGACAGGACTTGGTAACTGGTTAGATGTGAGAAGATATGGGATACAGGATGGCACCCACACACAGCCTGCATATTCCTTTAGCAGAGAGGTTAAGAACATAAAATGTAGAGACAGAGTCAGGCAGAACTATGATCAGTTTGCTTAGGGCAAATAATTTTGCTCCAATTTCTTCATTTTAAATAAAGTTGATCATATTACCTACCTGTCAGGATGTCTGTGAGGATGAAAGGACATTGTACATGCAAAACAATCAGTTTCCGGGGGACTGGTACAAAGAAGTAACTCAATAAATGGTAGCTTTCAAGTATACTTACCAGTGAAATATCCTACTGAATTATTCATTTAGATAAATCTTATCCTATTGGAATGTTGCCTCCCACCCCATAACTTTCTGCGGGTGACCAACTTTGGTAGCCGCTTCTCTAGCCCCCCTGGCCCCTCGCCTGGGCTGGAGGACAAGGGACTCAGGCACCGCTCCCGCTCCGGGAAATGAGAGGGTGCGAGTGCCTCTGACTCAGTCACCCCCCTTGAGCCCATTACAAGGATGAGAAAACCGAAACCTAGAGCCTTGCAAAGTCACAAGACAGGTTACTGGCAGAGTCCGGGGTTTAGAATCGCATTTTCTGCAGATAAACAGGCCTCAGTTCCTCATTTCTCTTATCCACTCCCCACGCCCCCAACCTTGCTCAGAATCGGCGCCGTAAAGAGCTGGGCAGCTTTTCTGAGAAGGAAGTTGGATTATCAGTCCCACGAAGCCTGGGGAACTGTAAAAATAAAGGAAGGAAAACCCCTCCCCAACTTCTTGAGTATCTGCGAATGAGGAAGGATTTTTTTTTTTCTTCTAGTTATGAGGCAAGAGGATGCACTCTGCTGAGAGTCCGTGGTTCCGTGGTCCACGTTGAGGGAGAGACTTTGGGGGTCGGGAGGCACCAATGGGGATTCCTTTGTGAAGAGGCTACCAGGGAGGGACAGTTGGCGCTCAAACTCTCCCAGCCGCTTCAGATGGCGGCGGAACGGCCACGCCCCACGTGGCTGCGGAGACCCTTTTCCCAAAATGGAGAGCGGGGAGGGAGAGGACGTCCGTCAGAGGTTAGCTCCGCCCCCGGAGACAGCGAGAGCCAATTAGCAACCCGCAAGGCGGGCACGCGCGAGGCTAGGGGAGGAGGCTGCCGTTGCCCCGGCAACCACCGAAGAGAACGAAGGCGGTCGCGGCCTGGGAGGGATCGCGGCGCCGCGGGCCTCTCCCTGCCGGAAAGGTCCCTCCCGGGAGAGCGCGAGACAGGCGGGGAGTCAGCGCCCGTGGAGAGCGGGGCAGGTCAGGTCCATGAACTCCAATCCCGAAGCCGCTTTCGCGCCTCCTGTTAGCGGTTCTGAAGTAGGCTTAGCGCATGCGTACACCTGGAGGCGGGGCTTTGCGCCCAGCTCTTAGGACGCATGCGGCATTGGAACCTTTGCGCTGGTGGGGGCGGAGCCACTGGCCCTGGGCGGGGCTTCCCTCTGCCCTGAGCTGGAAGTTGTGGAGTTATTGATAGATGCCTGCCTGCTCTTCTGCCTGGCCCTATTCCCCTCTTTTTATTTCGGGCTCTCCTGGAGAGGTATTTAGGATCCTATTAAGAACCCAGACTTAGTGGTCTGAAACTGCAATCCTAGTACTGTTCCATATTGCCTCAGTTTACTCATTTGTTTGGTGGAAATAATAGTACACTGACCTCACAGGGTTGTGACTGTTTTTACCCTCTCAGGGCTATGGCTGAAGTGCACGTGATCGGGCAGATCGTAGGGGCCACCGGCTTCTCGGAAAGCAGCCTCTTCTGCAAGTGGGGCGTCCACACAGGTATTCCCGACCTGGCTCCTTCCCCACCGAACTACCAGCCTACGGGTTCCACCTCCCTCCTGGCCCAGTCTCTGAACCTCATCTCCCATCAGGACTCCTGGGCCTGACCCTACTGTGTCCATCTATCTCATGCTCCTGCCTTGTCCCTTTCCATGCCATCTCTGGGGGCTCTGGCTCCAGCTCTGAACAAACAGCCCCTAAGGTTATGGGACTATAGGCTAGACCCCCCCACACACACTCCAAATCCTCAGAACACTAGACAGTCTTAACCCCATGGTTTGGACTTCATTCACTGTCTTAGGGGTGTCCTGGGTCCCTCCCCTGTCTTAATTCTTTGCTTAACAGTCTCCATTTATTGAGATCTTACTGTAAAATGGAAGTTTACATTCCAGATTTCAGAGGAAGACCACCCCTTGTATGCATAATTCTCTGTGAGAAAGGAGGAACCTGGTAATCATCCAAGCCCATCCGTATGGCCCAGGCAGAACCTCAGAAGCTCGATGTCTCCCATGTGAGGCAGAATAGTGCGGTGGTATGTGTAATGGTTAGGGCCACCAGATCTGGGCTCAAATACTAACTCTCCCATCTATTAAAGTGTGGCCTCTGAACTTAACCTCTCTGAGCCCCAGTTTCCTTGTCTGAAAAACTAATAGCGGAGAGGTGGCAGTGTTGAGGTAAAGAGCACAAACTGCCTGGGTTCAAAACCAGTTGTTAATTAAATATGTTGATTTTGGCCACTTGTCTTTGCCTCAGTTTCCCTATCAGTACAATGGTAATAATAATAATAATAATAATAATAATAATAATAATACTTATTTCATGGGTGGTTGTGCGAAATAAATGAATAGCAACAGCACTTAGGAGAGGACCTGGCCTAGTAAGTGTGCAGTAAGTGTTTACCCAGCTCATGGGGTCAGCTCAGTTGGATGGGGTCTTGTTTGTAAAGCCTGGGTATGTTGTCCAACAGATAAATGTGCATGAAATGAGTGTGGCTATTGCTGTCCTTATCTCTTCAGGCCCTGGGTCCTGGGTGGTGGGTGAGATTCTCTGGGAAATTGTGGTCCTCCAGCTGAGCACATGAAGAGGCAGCTCTGGAGTCAGACTTAGTTTGCAGTCTGGGCTCCATCTGCCCTGTGACCCTTGGCAGGCGCTGTCCCTTCACTGGGCCTCAGTTTTCTCATCTGTGAAGTGGGTTATATTGTATATGAAGAGCCAGACTCAAAGCCTGGTGCATTCCTTGCCTGAGTCAGAGAGAACAGTCACTCCGCAGTGGAGGGGACAGTGAGGAGGGACAGTGAGTCCAGCCGAGAGCTCCGAGGCAGGTAAAGGGCTTGGACTCTGCAGTCTGACCCAGCTCAGTCTGAATCCAGCTTCACAGTGGCACCTGGGTCTGCTGCAGGGCTGCTGTACCCAATGTGAACAGTGCTTGATGCACAGTAATGTTCATTAAGTGTTCATGGAGTGAATGGACAAGTGACTTTCCTTTTCAGAGTCTGTTTCTTCACTTGTTTGGTGAGGCTTATATGAGCACCCACCTCCCATGCCCACTTACTTGTCCAACAAACATTTTTGAGCACCTTCTGTATACTAAGATCTGGTTTTGAGTCCTGGAAATTCAATAGTATGTAATATCCCTGCTCTCCTGGAACTCACAGAAGGGGAAATAAAATAAATAAGCAGATAAAGAAATGAGTGTAATGATTACAGATGGTGGCAGGTACTCAGAACCAATTAGGTGAGATAATGTAACGGGGCTTAGTTTCGGACAGAAGGGTGAGGAGAACCCTCTGTAAAAGTGGCATTTGAGTTGATCCCTGAAAGATGAATAAAAGCCAGGCATGAGGACATCCAGGAGCAGAATTTCCTAGGCAGAGGGAACAGCCAATGTCACAAAGGAAATGAAAATAGGATCAAGGAAGCTAGAGGTAAGTGAGGGATGGGGAGAGTGATAGGAGATGAATGCAGGAAGGGGGACAAAGGTCAGATACAGGGCTTTGGGGAGAGTCTGTAGTCTGGGAGAGGGGTAGGATTAAAAGTCCCAGAGGGTGGATTAAATGAATTCATCACTAAAGTGCTTACCAAGAGCATTTGGTAAGCAATCAGTGCCTATTTGCTATTATGATCACCCTCTGTAGGCCTGGTGATATTATGTGCCTTTCACAGAGTGTTCTTGCTTTTTGTGGAAGGGCATCCTTGGTCCCATCCTAGTCCTTGGACTAGGCCTCTAACTGCAGCGTGAGAAAGTGACAGAGTGATACTCAGCACTTATCTAGCACTTACTACGCCCCAGGCACTGCTCTAAGTGCTTTGTGTGTATTAGCTCTTTTAATCTGCTCACAAAATGACAAGGAATGCGTTATTACACCCACTTGACATATTGGGAGACTGAGGCAGGAAAAGGTAACTTGCCCAAGTGTGTGCAGGCTCTGAACCGGTCCTTTGGCTCCAGAGTCCATGCTTTGTGTCCCCTGTCCCCCAGTACTGGAAGAAACAGGGCCTTACAGCCGCAATGGCATGCCTTCCTGATGGCTGCCTCCACTCCTCCCTGCCTCATTAGTGTCCTGGCTCTCCTTGTAGGGGCGGCATGGAAGCTCCTGTCAGGCGTACGGGAGGGCCAGACACAGGTGGACACCCCCCAGATAGGGGACATGGCCTACTGGTCCCACCCCATCGACCTGCACTTCGCCACCAAAGGCCTCCAAGGTGGGTTCCTGTGCTGGGCCCTGAGCCAGGCTGAGGGGATGGGGCTGGGGAGCGGGGTGGAAGGTGAGGGGGTGGGGAGGGTAGTTAGCAACATTCTATGAGACAGAACACCAACTCCTGTCCCTGCACCCTTTGGGTCCCTTTCCTGGCCAGGCCTGGCCCTGGAGAGACTGCGCTGAGGCCTCCCGTGGCTGGCTCTAGAGTGCGTCAGAGGCCAGGGGTGAGGGGAAGAGGGGAAGGAGGGACCAAGGGGAGAGGAGGGATGGCTTTCAAAGAGAAAAACCAAGAGACTCTTCAATCTAGAGGAAGCGGGAGGGTTTCTGAGGGAGAGGGAGGAAGGGCTGGTGGCTGTCCTCGGGCAGGGCTCCCCCGCTGTTCAGAGGAAAAGGGAGTCTGCGGGGGAGGAAGGGTATCAGAAAATCTTTTCTGGTGGAAAATGTGGGTCATTGGAGAGAAGTGAATTCCAGGAAGTAGCCTAGGTAAATATGCCATATATTTCAACAATATAAATAATAGTTGCAGCCGAAACCGGTTTGGTTTAGTGGTTTGGCTTAGTGGATAGAGCGCCGGCCTGCGGACTGAAAGGTCCTAGGTTCAATTCTGGTCAAGGGCATGTACCTTGGTTGCAGGCACATCCCCAGTGGGGGGTGTGCAAGAGGAAGCTGATTGATGTTTCTCTCTTATCCATGTTTCTAGTTCTCTATCCCTCTCCCTTCTTCTCTGTAAAAAATCAATAAAATATATTTTAAAAATAATAGTAGTTGCTGAGGACATGCCCTATGATGAGAGATGCCAGAGAGATGTCGGTGATTGAGACAGCTCGTGGCCCTGCTCTCTTGGGGTTTACCATCCCATGGGAAGAGAGCCATTCCCAGACTGGCAGCCCAGCATAGGCAGGGATGAGCTAGCTATTGGAACCAAGGGGAGGCTCCTGACTCTGCCAGGGAGTTCAGGGAGGGCTTCCTGGAGGAGGAGCTGTTGAGCTTTGCTGTGAGGGGCCAGTAGGAGCTAATAAGGCGACGGAAGGAAGAGGGATCAAGGCAGAGAGGCGTGTGGGAAGCCCAAAGGGTAAAATGAGTGAGGGCATTTGGAGGATGGGGGGAGAGCAGAAGGACTGTGGGGGCGAGGTGGCAGGGGACGGGACAGGCCATGCAGGGTCTTGAATCCCAGGCCCCTGAGCTGAGGCTGTCCCCTGAAGGCACCGGAAAGCCACAGCAGGTGACTGACAAGTCCGATTTTGCTTCTAAAAGACCCTCTGGCGGCTGTGGGTGAAGGGTCGGAGGGTGAGGCAGGCAGGCAGCTGTCCTTTCACTCTTCAGACCCCACGTTCTCCTCTGGTCCCCCCAGGCAGCTCCCACCCCAGGGCCTCTCCACCCGTTGTTCCCTCTGCTGGGAATGCTCTTCCCTGGATGTCTCCACGGCCCCCTCCCTTCCCTACTTGAAACATTCACTCCATGTCCCCTTCTTAGTGAAGCCTTTCTTGACCATCCCCTTTCTAAAACGGCATCCTACCCCCACCCTACCTAGCTTTATTTTTCTCCAGAGCAGTCATCACCATCTGGCATACCCTATAATTTGCTTATTTACTATGTTCGTTGTCTAGGATGTCAGCTACGCAAGGGCAGGAATTTTGATCTGTTCTGTTCACCTCTGTAGAGCAGGGCCAACCGCAGAGGGGCTCAGAAAGGAGAGTGAAATGAGGCTGGGTCTCAAGGCTTTGCCTGCCAGGCTGAAGCGCTGAGAAAGATGCTTCCAGATGCCAGGAGGAAGATGAATTGGAGGAGACAAGAAGTCCCTGAACCCGGAGAGGACTGGGTGGGAATCAGGGAAAGGTCCAGGACAAGGCTCAAGGTGTTTGCTTATCTGTGGACGGGCCTCCCTGAGCTGGGACCGTGGACAAGGAGGACACAGGGAATCAGCAGAGGCTTGATCTAAAGGGCCTTGAGTGTTGAGGTTGGATTTTATTCTGAAGGCACCGGGGAGCCATGGAAGGGTTTTGAGCAGGGGAGGAGAATGGATTCAGAAATAACCATTGGCTGTTGTGTGGGAATGGGGGGTCCAGAGAGGAGGCTGGGCAGACGCCAGGGAAGAGGACTGAGCCCAGAGAGTGACCGGCTATACCATCCCCCTCTCTCCTGTCTTGCAGGCTGGCCCCGGCTCCATTTCCAGGTGTGGTCCCAGGATAGCTTCGGCCGCTGCCAGCTTGCAGGTTACGGCTTTTGTCATGTGCCCAGCAGTCCGGGAACCCACCAACTGGACTGTCCCACCTGGCGGCCCTTGGGCAGCTGGCAGGAGCAGCTGGCACGGGCCTTTGTGGGTGGTGGGCCTCAGCTGCTGCATGGGGACGCCATCTACAGTGGGGCCGACCGCTATCGCCTGCATACTGCCGCTGGGGGCACCGTGCACCTTGACCTGGGCCTGTTGCTGCGCCATTTTGACCGCTATGGCGTGGAATGCTGAGGCACCCTGCTGCCGCGACCCCCATCCACATACCTGGACGCCCATAAGGGGCAGGATGGTGCAGTAGTCAGAAACGTGGGCTCTGGAGACTGCCTTACCTGACCCAGCCACAGCATGGGGCAGCTTCTGCCCTGGCCAGCACCGCAAGCCCAGAATCTCTCCCTCTGAAGTCCATTTTCCCCACCTGTGAAATGGGGTACCAGGGGTTTGGGGAGAAGAGGCTGCCTCACACATGGACTTGCTAAATAAAGAACAGTTCTGACAGATGTGGGTGCCTTCCTGAACTCCCGACCTGTCAGCTGGCCTGTGCCCCATCCTCTCACTGACACCCTCCTTTCTCAGACCCCCATCTTCTTCCCCTTTCTCTGCCTTAAACTTTGGGTGACTTGTCTTCCCCTTTCTCTGCCTTAAATTCTGGGTGACTCCTTATGAGCCCCTCTCCTTGGGGGTTTTCCTCCTCTGGGCCCCTGGGCCCCTCTGCCCCAGTCTCCTACCCTCTCCATTCTGGGTCCCCTCTCCTGACCCCTTGTATTCTGTCTCTATCCTCTGACTGAGCCCACCCCCAAACCCCCACCCATCCCCAGAGCCATCCAAGCCACCGCATTCGCTTTGGTAGCGTCAGCCACCAGGAGGCAGCACTCCGCTTGGGGCGGGGCCGGGGTGCCCGCCCCCTCCGGGGCGGCTTAAGAGACCCCCCTCGGAGCCCGCCCACGCGAGCTGAGGACTGTGGCCAGGCCCCCCCTGATTGCCCTCCCCCCGGGGGCCGCCCCCGCCCCGAGCGCTTCCTGGGTGGGGCCGGGGCGGCTTCAAAACCCCCCGCCCCTCTAGCCGGTCCTCCCGCCGCCGCCCTCCGCGCTCCGGGCCGCCCCGCTCCCTCCTCCCGCGGCGGAGCCTCTAGACAGCCAGGCCCCCGGCCGGGGGCAGGGGGGACGCCCCCTGAGGGGCGCACCCCCCCGGCTCGGAGCCACCCGCCGGGAGCGGAGGAAGGCGCAGCCCGAGGCCCCAGAGTCTGAGACAAGCCGCCCCCGCCGCCGCCGCCGCCGCCGCGGGGAGGGGGGAGGAGGAGCGGGAGGAGGGACGGGCTGGTGGGGAGAAGAGGAAAAAAGTTTTGAGACTTTTCCGCTGCCGCCGGGAGCCGGAGCGCGGGGACCGCCTGCCCAGCACGGAGACAGGACTCGGGGATCCCAGACCGCCTCGCCGCCTCGGACGCTCACTCCCTCCCTGCCCCCCACTCGGCGTCCCCCAGGCACCCCATTCCGGACCAGCCCTCAGGAAACGCGAACCCGACGACCGACCGCGAAGGCTGGACCCAAGACCTCGGGCGCACCCCCTGCGCGCTCCCCGCCCCCAGCCTCGCTCCGAGCCCCAGCGCGCCCCGGACCTGTCCCCTCTGTGACCGGAGGCAGACCCGACTCAGCGTCCGCATTCAAGACCACCCTCCTCCGTTAGCGATCGCTCCCACCTCGGGCTTTTCCTAAGACAACCAGCAGCCGTTCACCAGCACCCCCTCCCTCCTCCCTGAGGACCTCAGCTCTACCCCCCCCTCCCGTTCACCCGCAGACTCTCCCACCTTTCGGCGGGAGACCCCCACCCCCAGCCCCGGCAGGAGCGGGGCCTCCCTGTGCCCACAGCAGCCCGGCCCGCGCTCCCGGCAGAGCCGGGGGGCGCCGCCTCCCCCATGCCGCCCTCCGGGCTGCGGCTGCTGCTGCCGCTGCTGCTGCCGCTGCTGTGGCTGCTGGTGCTGGCGCCCGGCCGGCCGGCCGCTGGACTGTCCACCTGCAAGACCATCGACATGGAGATGGTGAAGCGGAAGCGCATCGAGGCCATCCGCGGCCAGATTCTGTCCAAGCTGCGGCTCGCCAGCCCCCCGAGCCAGGGGGACGTGCCGCCGGGGCCGCTGCCCGAGGCCGTGCTGGCGCTTTACAACAGCACCCGCGACCGGGTGGCCGGGGAGGGCGCCGCGCCCGAGCCCGAGCCCGAGGCGGACTACTACGCCAAGGAGGTCAACCGCGTGCTGACCCTGGACAACAACCACGGTGAGCCCGCCCGGGGTGGGGGCGCCGGGGGAGTCCCGGGGTGCCGGCGTGCGGGGTCCGGGAGGGAATCACCGGGGGAGGGAACTGGCTGGAGGAAGTGGACCTCGGGGGGCGCCGGGAGCGCGGGTGGCCCCCCGCCTCCCCAGAGACTGGGTTGAGCTTCCTCCCCGCCAGGTGTCTGGTGCGGAGAGGAGACGGTGAGCGCAGTGACCGCCTCTGGAGGCGACAGGGACATAGGGGGCCGTGGGGTAGCCCCCCAGTGGGAGAGAAACAAGGGGAGGAGCGCCTAGAAAAGGACTTTACCTCCGGGGTGCACCGGGGTGCGGGGGCTGCAGAGAGGGGGCCCAGCTCGCTCTGGGAGAGGCGAGACCCCGGTGTGAAGCGAGGAGTGGCAGCGGGGAACGCTGGTGCGGGCTCAGGGGTCCCGAGATGGGAAAATCCAAGGGCTGAAAAGCCAGGTGAGGACGAACTCCCCAGTGCCCTCAGTATGAAGTCCAACCTCGACACAACCTCGACAGGCCCTTTGGAGGCTCAGGAAAATGGAGTGGGCAGGGTGTGCAAGGGACGCGGGGTTGGGGGAGCGGTGAGGAGGTGAGACATCCTGGGAGAAAGGGGCCGAGGGAGGGGGGAAACTAGCGGGAGGAGAGCTGGGACCCCAGGGGGGGCCGGGGATGCGCGGTGAGGTGCCCAGAGTGGTTCGCAGATGGACGCGCGAGGGGACAGCCCGCCGAGGAAGCGGGCCCCGGGGAACCGAGAAGACGGGGTCGTGGGAAGGAGCGCTCAGGAGCGAGGGGCGCAGGCGTGGGAAAGGCGGGCTGGGGAGGGGGTGAGGGAGAGGGAGACGGTGCTGCTGGGAGCCGCGAGCCCCGTGCTGCGGGCTGAGTGAGGAGTCCAGCCGCAGGGGGAGCGGCGGGGAGGTGCGATCCACAAGGTTGGGGCGCGGAAGTCCCTCGTGGGTGCCACGCGCGGGGGAGGAGCTGCGCGTCCCGAAGTGGGGTGGGGGGACCCCACAGCTACAGGCTTAGACTCTAGACCCCGTAGTGCCAGTTCCTCCCCGCGAGGCTGGGGAAACCCCGGCGTCCGGCCGCCTGGCCCGCCCGCCCTCTTCCCTTCCTCCCCGTGCCCCGGGGGTGGGGACCGCGCGGAGCCTGGGGCGAGATGAGGCAGGTCCGGTCCCCGCCCTCGCGGCGGCCGCCGCGCCTCCCGCCCTCTTCACCCCAGTTCCGGGCGGGACGGCCGTGGGCCCGCCCCGTCGGCGCCCACGCGGGGACCCAGGGGTCCCCAAGGGCCCTGCGCCTTGGGGCGGCCCCCAGCTTTTCACTTTCCCTCGTGGACTCGCGGGTCCCCAGCCCATTCCTTTGCCCAGTTGTGGCTCCCGCCAAATACCGCCCATCCCCCCTCACAGGTCCGCCTCACCTTTTCCGTAATCGCTTCACCCTTTTTTTTGTAGAGATTTAACGAAGACACCTTCAGTGCTCTCCCTCCGGCTCCCAAACCCTGTGTTCCTCTCCGTGTGTGTGTGTGTGTGTGTGTGTGTGTGTGTGTGTGTATGTGGTCTTCCTTCCATCTCTGTCTTCCCATCTCTCCCTCCTCTTCATTAGTCTCCATCTCTCTCTTTTTTTTTTTCTCTCTCTCTCTCTCAATACCAGGAAGCTATTTATTAAAGTTTTGGAATGAATGAGGGTAACAGTGGCCAATAGCATGATTGCATTTATTATCTCTTCTAACCCTGAGCAATCACTTTGGTGCCAAACAACCCAGCTCTCATCCTTAGTAGTCTCCATCTCTTGCCTCTACTCCTCCTCCACACCTCCTCCTACCTCTTCCCGTCTCTGGTCTCTGTGGTCTCTCCCTCCCTCCCTCTGTGGATCCCTGACCCTTTCCCTCCCTCCCTTCCTTCCTCCCTCCCTGTCTCCCTTCCTCTGGGGGTTGCTGAGTAACCCCTGGACCAAAATAGTGCTTATTTGTAGGAGGCGGGACTGGTCTGGCTGGAGTGGGGATGGTAGAGGATGGGGGCCCACAGAAGGGTTTTCCTCTGACATTTCTCAGAGTCTGTCTCTGTTCTTACCTCCCCCCTGCAGAGGCCTAAAGCAGATGTCCCCATTTATCCAGAGTTCCCTCAACCTCAACCCCAAACTTTTCCTAGTCTAGAAAACACCTGCTAATTTTCTCCCCCACTGCTGAGCTATTCCTACCTAGAATAAACTTTGCCTTTTCTAACCAGCTGAGGGAGGAAGCAATTGCTAATCAGCTTAGGGGTTGTCTCTGGAAACTGTCTGCTTGAGTTTGAATCCCCATTCTGCAGCTTCCTAGCTATGTGACTTTGGGACAAATTACTTGATCTCGTTGTGTCTGTTTTACTACCTGGAGAGCGGGTGTAATAATAGTATCTTCCTCATGGGATTATTGCGAAGTTTAAATGCAAAGTGCTTTATCTGCTTCGTCTCACTTCACACTCTCATCCTGCAATCCGTCCCTGTTTCACAGGTGAGAATCTGGCACAGGAATTCACTTGCTCAAAGTTACGCCAGCACTTCAGTTAGGAGGACCTGGGTAGGAAGGCAGGGAGCTTGATGTGGTTGCCATTTTCCAAAGAATAGCAGGAAACTGAGGCTCCGAGCAGGAATGTGACTTGCCAAGGTCACAGCCCAAAGGCAGCAGAGGCAGGGTCTGCTCCAAATGCCCTTGACCCTACACTGCCACGTGACTTGCATTTGAGGCTCCAAGTACTGAGAAGATCTAGCAAACAGATACCTTTAGCGCTAGCCTGTATTGAATGGGTACTTGACAGATGATGGGAGAGAAGGGTTTAGAGAGGAGGAAATAAAGCCAGAGAGAGCAAGCCCACGGTCAGGGTCGGACTCCCACCCGGGGCTGTCAGCTCTGGAGCCCAGGCTCTTCACCCTTGGGGTGTATCAGCTCCCCTTCCGCAGCCACACCGCTGACATCCCCCTTCTTCTCTCCTTCTGCCTAGAAATCTATAAGACATACAAGCACAACACACACAGCATATATATGTTCTTCAACACGTCGGATCTCCGGGAAGCTGTGCCTGAACCCCAGTTGCTCTCCCGAGCCGAGCTGCGCCTGCAGAGGCACAAGTTGAAAGTGGAGCAACACGTGGAGCTGTACCAGGTGGGGGCATGGGCCATGCAGACAGACCATGGAATCATAGAGCTCTTTGTTTTTATTTTATTTTATTTTTTTAAATATATTTTATTGATTTTTTTTTTTTTTTTTTTTTTTTTTTTACAGAGAGAAGGGAGAGGGATAGAGAGCTAGAAACATCGATGAGAGAGAAACATCGACCAGCTGCCTCCTGCACACCCCTTACTGGGGATGTGCCCGCAACTAAGGTATATGCCCTTGACTGGAATCGAAACTGGGGCCCTTCAGTCTGCAGGACCCTTCAGTCTCTATCTATAGAGCCAAACCGGTGTTGACCATAGGGCTCTTTAAAACTCCAGACTCCTACTGAAACCGGTTTGGCTCAGTGGATAGGGTGTCGGCCTGCGGACTGAAAGGTCCCAGGATCGATTCCAGTCAAGGGCATGTACCTTGGTTGTGAGTACATCCCCTTTAGGGGGTGTGCAAGAGGCAGCTGGTCGATGTTTCTAGCTCTCTGTCCTTCCACCTTCCTCTCTGTAAAAAATCAATAAAATATATTTAAAAAAACAAAACAAAAAAACTCCAAACTCCTAGCACCCTAGAATGTTAACCACTTAGAAGGCTGGAATCTTAGCAACTAGATTCTAGAATGCAGGTAACTTGAAAATTGAAATCCCTAGAACAGTTCAGGGTTCTGGACCTGCTCTGTCCCATAGGGAAACCTCTAGTTACACATGGCCATTTGAGTTTATTACAATTAAAAGCAAAAATTCAATTCCTTAGTCCCACGGGCCATATTTCAAGCAGCCGTAGTCAAAGGTGGCTAGCGGCTATATGGGACACCACGGATCCAGAACATTTCTTGGATAGCTCTGTTCTAGAACATTTGGAATCTTCAGGGAGATCGGGGCCTCTGGGAGAGTTGGGTTCTCTAGAAGGTCAAGTGGTCTAGAATCCGTGTCACGTGGAATGTTAGACGTGACGGTAAATGGTAGATTCATTCAACAAGGGAACTTTGTCTTCTGTTAACTTCTTGGCATCTAGAGAACCCAACTTCATGCTGCCACTCCTGGAGCATTCTGTCCAGAACCAGGGATCGTTCCACAGGAGAGCGATGCCTGGAGCTTCTAGGCTTATGGTGCGTCAGACTCCCGAACATGTGGAACATTAACCTCTTAGAACGTCTTGGGCTCATTGACTGTAATTCTTGGGATGCTGTCAAACCCTGGAGTTATAGAATGACTTGGAACATAAGCCCCTAGAAAGTTGTAGACTCAGAACTGACAGTGTCAAATGTGCAGAAATGTATGCTGAGTGAAGCCCAGGTGTCTGCAGGAAAAGCTGAGCAGTGGCCTGTCCAAGCTCACAGGGGCCTGACATCTCACCAGCAAGGAAACTGAAGCCCAGAGAGAGAAAAGAATTTCCTCAGCTCCAAAGAGGATCAGGGTCCGAGGCTGAGCAGCTTGGGAGCCTTGGCTCCCAGCCTGGAGCTCGCTGTGGCCCAGGTGGTTCCTGTGGGTCACCAGGGCGTGGATTGCTGAGAGGGGACTGTCAAAGGCCCATTTAGAGGAGCAGCTGGGGCGGGGGTGCAGGCAGTGGATGTGAAGGTGCATGGCAGCATCTACCCACCATCTCTCTCCTCCCATTCCTCATCCCCCAGAAATACAGCAACAACTCTTGGCGCTACCTCAGCAACCAGCTGCTGTCTCCCAGCGACACACCTGAGTGGCTGTCCTTTGAGGTCACTGGAGTCGTGCGGCAGTGGCTGAGCCTCAAAGGTGAGGACCACTTACCTGCCCCACCCTGTTTTGCAAATGGGGTCAACCCCATTGTCCTGCAACTACTCTGCCTAGCACACATACACCACCTCTCACCCTCCAGCCCTGTGTTGGTGCCAAAGAGCCGAGACCTGGCCCTCTGCCCAGACACTCAAACCTGAGTGATTAATGGTTTGATCCATTTCCTGAGCACCGGCCCCGTGCTGGGTGATTCTGGGGACACAGTAGTGATAAAAACAACTCCAGCCTTGCCCTCACAGAGCTCATGGCCCATTGTTGGGGTGGGGGAAGAGGATGGAAGTCCTGTAAATCAAGTACTAATGACCCAGAATGGGTGAGCCTAGAATGGGGATCCCAGAGGAGGTGGCTGCACAGACTGGGATCCAGGAGGGCTTCCAGGAGGGGGGAGGGGACAGCAGAGCCAGCGTCTGAGGGATGAGTGGAACCAGCCCAGAGAAGGAGGGCAAGACTGTTGGAGGCAGAGGGACAGGATATGCAAAGGCCTTTATTCCGGGAGAGCCTGGCACATGCAATCTGTCTGGAAGGAGATAGCCTCTGTCCTGTCCCAGCTGAGCCCACAGCGTCCACCTCTCCCTCCCTAATCTCCCTCTTACTCATGCCGCCATTCAGTAAATGCTGGTAGGTGCCTGCTCTGTGCCTGGCCCTGGGTGGTGGTGCAAGGGAGACAGTGGTAGCCAAGCAGACTTCTAGGCGCTGTCCTCACCATTACTTCCAGACACCTGGGAAGTCTTGCCAAAGCCCTAGCAGGCAGTGATGACTAGAATGATCAGGGCCAGGAGAGGGGAGCCCAGCGCAGATAACCAAACCCATCTGGAGGAGGTGGCCCAGGAGGGCTTCCCGGGGTTAAGGGCAAATGTGTTGAGACTCGTGGGGTCAGTGGTGGTTTGGCCAGATGAAAAGAGGGGATTAGGAAGCAGGTGGGCATTGGGAGGAGTGTCTGGGGCCACTGGACAAAGGTCATTATTTGAGCCTGGAGCCCTCAGTACGGGGTCCAGCACATAGCAGGAGCTTAGAAAACACACTCATTCATTCAAGAAGCCTTTCTCTCAGCCCTGCCTTTTCGCACCTGGGACAGGTCACGTCACAGAGAGGACGTGTGCCTGGGCACCCTCTTCTGGGAAACGGTGGCTTTGGTGAGGGTGAAAGGAGATCCTGCCCACAGAGTTTTAGAACATGCCTGGCACTCAGTGTACCCTCCTGCACTCAGTAGAGGTTTGTTTTTATCATTGCAGGCCAGCCCCTGCAGGGAACAAGAAAGCAAGGATCCCTGCCCCCATGCATCCTGCTCTCCACTGAGAACAATGAGGGAAATAAATAGCCAAATACCAGGGACCCTGAGGGTCAGTGCTGTGGGGAAAATAAAGTGGTGTGTTAGTGGGAGTGGGGCCCGCATCACGCAGGGCCTCTTGGAGGAGGTGACATTTGAACTGAGACCTGAAGGTGGAGGGAGAGGCAGCAAGGCCGAGAGCTGCTGCAGGAGGGTCAGTGAGAGGGCAGCTGGCTTGCGCCTTCCTGCTTTCTTCCCCAGGGGCTGGTGAGCCACACCCTCACACTGTGGCTCCCCTCTCCTCATAGATGAAATCAAGGGCTTTCGCCTCAGTGCCCACTGCTCCTGTGACAGCAAAGATGACACACTCCATGTGGAAATCAACGGTGAGGCCCACCCTTCTGTCTCGGTGCCATGTGCAGTGTGTGTGTATGTGTGTGTCCCCTCTTCACCCTGCCCATGCCCCATTCACCACCTGAGTGTGTGTATGTCTCCCCACCCCTCACCCCCTGACTCCCAAACTAAAACAGGAATCAGTATTGACCGCCGGGGTGACCTGGCCACCATTCATGGCAGAAACCGGCCCTTCCTGCTTCTCATGGCCACCCCGCTGGAGAGAGCACAGCACATGCACAGCCCCCGGCACCGTCGAGCCCTGGACACCAACTACTGCTTCAGGTGAAAACTGAGGCCTTCCAGCTGGGAGGCCTGACCAGTGCTGCGGGTGGGCACCTGGCTGGTACTATACTTGGGCTAGTATCTCCTGCAGCCTGGAAAACTTAGGGGATGAGGTTTGAGTCTTAGAATACAGGGATGTGTGACCTGAGAGTTCTAGAATGTTGAGATCGTGTTGTTTTCTTGCTGGTGTGTGGGAATCAGAGGCTATTAGAATGTTGAACTCCAAGAATGTGGGGATTCAGTCTTTGAAATTATTGGCAGGTTGGGATCCTTAGAGCAGTGGTTCTCATCCTTCCTAATGCCGCGACCCTTTAATACAGTTCCTCATGTTGTGGTGATCCCCAACCGTAAAATTATTTTCGTTGCTACTTCATAACTGTAATTTTGCTACTGTTATGATTCATAATGTAAATATAAGTGTTTTCTGATGGTCTTAGGATCTACAGCAGCAGTTCTCAACCTGCACGAAGTAGCAATGAAAATAATTTTATGGTTGGAGGTCACCACAACATGAGGAACTGTATTAAAGGGTCATGGCATTAGGAAGGTTGAGAACCACTGTCCTAAAGTGTTCAGGTTCTAGGATGCTAGAATTCAGTGTTAGTTATTGAAATCTGACAGTGTTGGGCTCAAGGAGTGTTGGGATCCTAGAACCTTGGAATTCAGAATTGCCCTTTTGGATTCCTGTCTATTGACAGATTGGCGTGTCCAGTGCTGGCAGATTGCAATCCTCAAATCTTGGGCTCGGAGGATAAAATACTGTTAAAATGTTAGCCTTCACAAATGGCATCTGGAGAAAGCCAGAATATTGGTACCCTAGAGTGCTGGGCTTGGTGTCGGCATGTGCATTCTGTGAAGGCCGGGATCTTGGACAGTGGCAGCTTGGCCCTCTTGAGTGATGATGGGCTCAGAACTTTGGAATGTTGGAATGCGGTAGTGAAATATTGGAATTCAAGAATGCCAAGATCCTCGAGAGTTGGAATGTGGAACTCCTAGAAAGTTGGAAGTGCTGTTGGAGTGAGTGTCTTGAAGGTGCTGGTGTACTGTAGTCCAAGGAAGTTGAAAACTTAGATTTCTAGAATGTTAAAATTCAGAGTTAGAATGTTGTGAAATTAGAATTATAATTTGATCCTGTTCCTCCCTTACTCACTATAAAATAAATATACTTATTTATTTATTTACTGATTTCAGAGGGGAAAGGAGGGAAACATCAATAATGATAGATAATCATTGATCGGCTGCCTCCTGCATGCCGTGTACTTGGGATCGAGCCTGAAATCCTGACCTCTGGTTCATAGGTAGATGCTCAACCACTGAGCTACCCTGGCCTCTGCTTAACATGTTGATGGTGCCCCTGGGGTTTTGTCATATGCTAGTCCCCCACTGGAAAGTCAGCTCTTCTCCCAAGTTCCTTGCAGATCCTACCCTCAGCCCAGCAACTCAGTGAATGAATGAACAGATTGAGGTCTTGAGTGCCAACAGCTAATAACATTACAAAGAAAGGCAGGCAGCCATGTAAGCCTCCATTGAGAGGGACACAATGTCACCTAGGAAGTCATGCAAAAAAAAAAAAAAAAAATTGAACCTGAAGTTGATCAAGATGGCTGCCAACTTCCAATTTTCTAGAAATATAGGTATAGTGGAGCATGTTAAACACCACCACAGTCAGCAACATCTAGATTGTGGGAAACCTGACTTAAGTTTCTTCAACACATACAATGCAAAGGTGGGAAATAAAGAGATGGTTCTGTAGATTTAAAAGAACAATCTTAAAAAGAGATACATCAACCAAGAGCACTGTGTAAACCTTATTTGGATCTTAATTTGTGCAGACTAAAAAAAAAGATGTTTATGAAACAGTTGGGAAAATACGAACTATCACTAGATAATCTGATGATATCAAGGAATTATTAATTTTTCTTATGTGGTATTGTGGTTGTGTTTTAAAATAGTTCTGCATTTCTTGGAGATACATATAGAAATATTTCTGGGTGGAGTGATATGGGGAGAGGAAGTGGTAGGGGTAGAGATACAGTGAAACTGGCCATGACTTGCTAAATGTTGAAGCTGGGTGATGGAGACATGAGGGTTCAAAAAAATATTCTCTGCTTTTTGTATGTTTGAGGTTCAAACACCATCTTCTTAGCTCAAACACCATCTCCACGGGGAAGCTTCCCTGACCCTTCCTTCCCCAGCGTCCAGCGTCCGTGTGGGGCCCTGGGTTTCTTTCACTCATCAGGCCCTGTTGGGTCCTGTTGGGCTGACTGAATGGGAGAGCTCTGTAACCGTGTGTGTAACCGTGTGTGTAACCGTGTGTGTGTAAGGGGCCCGGAATGCAGAAGGCCCTGAAGTATAAGTGCCTCAGGGCCACCCGGAGGGCTTGCTAAATCTGGCCTGCTACCTCTCATCTCCAACCCCCAGTTTCTGGTTCAGGAGGTATGGGTGGGGCCTGAGAACTTGCATTCCCCACAAGTTCCTGGTGATACTGCTGCTGATCCTGGGACCTCACATGGAGAATGGCTAAGTTGGATAATAGAATCACAGACTCTTCAGATCTTAGCCCTCAGAACACATCAGATTTGGCACACAAAGTAAAGATTATTCTGGACAGAGACTCTTCCACTTTTGTGAGTTTAGGACCCCACTGAGAAGCCAGAAGCCAGGCACCTTTCCTCCCAGAAGTATGTGCATACATACACATCTCTGTGCATATGGTTTGGGGGACTCAGGACCCTCCCTGAGCCCACACATAGACTTCCTGATACCTCTTTGGCCCTCAGGTCACCAACACTTTATTTCCCCATCTTTGATGGGGAAACTGAATCCTAACCAGACTGTGGAGGGACCGGCAGAGCTCAGGGATCTCAGCTCCCTGACTCCCTTCTTAGGGCTCTGGGGCTCATGGAAAGGTCTTGCCCCAGGAGACCCTGTGTCATCACTCCTTTGCCCTCTGCTGAGCTGACATGGTTGTGCTGGGCAGATGAGGCCACAAGCTCTGGGTGGCATAGAGTCAGTTGTAAACCTGGCCACAAGCTTCACCCCTTATATACTGTATGTGAGCAGGCAGCATTCTTCTCTGAGGCTGGTTTTCATCCTTCAAATGGGAATAATAAAAAAAACCTGCCATGCAGTTTTGAAATGAATTGATGAGCTCTTTATTGATTACTATTTGAATAGGTAAATACGTGCACATGGACCAAACCGAAAAAGGATCTCAGAGACCCTCCAGCTCTAACCCCCAACCTCTCGCCGAAGAGGCAGCCACTTTTATTATGTTTATGTCTCCTTCCAAAGAGTATCTACATGAGGCACTTACAGATAGCCATATATTAATTTATTTTGTCCAAATGATAGTCTTATACTTGAGGGGAGTGAAAGGACTACATTTTCTTTCCATTTCTTTTCTGATTCTAGAAGTAACACATATGCACTGTTAAGAATTTGGAAAGGATAAAGACTATTGTTCATCATACTAAATATAAATGCCATAATAAAAATAAAAGATATTACTCATTATACCACATACAAAAGGTCACCATCAACATTTCAATAAATTTCCTTCCAGTTGCTTTATGTCAAACAGAATTTGGATCATACTGTACCTGTAGCTTTGCATAGTGCTTCTCCCACATGTTATAAACATGGAATATAAAGATCCTGTCTGTCCATAAGTCAAGCTTTTTATTTTATTTATTTATTTATTTATTTTTTAAAATATATTTTATTGATTTTATACAGAGAGGAAGAGAGAGAGAGATAATCAGAAACATCGATGAGAGAGAATCATCGATCAGCTGCCTCTTTGCACACCCCCTACTGGAGATGTGCCCGCAACCGAGGTACATGCCCTTGACCGGAATCGAACCCGGGACCATTCAGTCCCCAAGCCGACGCTCTATCCATTGAGCCAAACCAGTCTCGGCGATAAGTCAAGCTTTTTAGCCAAGCTCACTGTTCATCTCAGCTATGGCCCCAGGGTCTGCACATTTAGTGCCCAGGTCCTTTCATACAAGCAGAAGCCTGGGCCCCAACTTAGGAGGACTGGCCCTTGGATCTGAACATGGGACAGAGATCATGAATCCAGAACAGTAGTATCTTATTCACCACTATTCTCCAATGTGCTTAAAAATGTTTTTTATTTATTTATTTCAGAGAGAAAAAGAGAGGGAAAGAGAGATAGAAACATTAATGATGAGAGAGAATCATTGATCGGTTGCCTCCTTCATGTCCCCTACTGGTGATCAAGCCCACAATCCAGGCATGTGCCCTTGACTGGAATCGAACCTGGGATCCTTCAGTCTGCAGGCCAATGTTCTATCCACTGAGCAAAACCAACCAGGGCTCCAATGTGCTTTTTAAAACCTAACACATTGAACAATTAATTTATACATCCAATATTTGCAGAGTGCCTGCTGTGTGCCTTGCACTGTAGAGGTACATTAGGAGATAAAACAGACAAAATGTCCTGTCCTCAGAGAAAGGCAGATGATGAACAAATAAATCAATATCTAATAAACAAAAGAGTTAATAAATAAGTTCTAAGAAGAAAAATAAATCAGATGAAGGATAGAGATATTTGAGAGTATTTTTCCTATTCTAATTTTTAATATGAAAATTTCAAATGTATATAAAAGCAACCAGGATGGTATAATGAGCTCTTATCCAGCTTCCACAGGTTTTAAGGTTTTGTCTCACTTCAGACACAGGCATTTTCATGTTTTCTTGCATCTCTGCAATGCTGTTATACGGAATGAAACTGTATTTTGTTTTTTATTTTTTTATTTTATTGATTTTTAAATATATATATTTTATTGATTTTATACAGAGAGTAAGAGAGAGGGATGGAGAGTTAGAAACATCGATGAGAGAGAATCATCGATCAGCTGCCTCTTGCACACCCCATACTGGGGATGTGCCCGCAACCAAAGTACATGCCCTTGACCGGAATTGAACCCGGGACCCTTCAGTCTGCAGGCCAACGCTCTATCCGCTGAGCCAAACCGGTTTCAGCTGGAACTGTATTTTGGATTGGTATTTTGGGTAGGAGGGTCCAGCAAGGACTCTTTAAAGAGATGACATTAGCCATGGCTGGTGCAAGAGGCAGCCGATCAATGATTCTCTCTCATCATTGATGTTTCTATCTGTTTCCCCATCTCCTTTCCTCTCTGAAATCAGTTAAACATAAAAAAAAAAAAGAAGAGATGATATTAATTTGTTTATTTATTGAGCACCCACATGCCAGGCAGTGTTCTAGGATTGAGGCTCCCTTGGTGAAGGACATTTAAGCATCAATTAAAGGAAGTGAAGAAATAAGCTGTAGCAGAAATTTGTGTGAATGGCAAGCCAGGCAGAGACAACAGCACGTGCAAAGGCGCTGAGGTAGGACTGTCCGAGGAACAGTGAGGGCACTAGTATGGCGGGAGTAGAGTGGAAATGGAGAGGGAGTTGAGATTAGCCAAATCCAGTGGTGCCTTGTGGTTCATGGTGAGGGCGTCTGGCATCCGTCCTTAGTGAAGCAGGCCATGTTCAGAGCAGAAGAGCAACATGAGTTTGTCTCCAGCATTTGGCCCCAGAGGACAGGGGTTTCTGTCTGTTTTGTTTGCCCTGAGTCCCTGTAGATCACAGGTAGAATGGACCAGTGGACACGGAGCTGCACCGTTTTATGTTCCAATGCATGGATGTGCCATGATTTATTAGTTGTCCCCTGTGGATTGGCTTCTTACAGGCTTGTTTTGAGCAGTACATGAGACACTGCTTATTACGTTGCTCTTAGCACAGTGCTTGGCCAGAGGAAGTGCTTTATCAGTGTTGGCGATTATCAGTATTATAACTGTTGGCTATTGTTATCACAGTGGGTGCAAGAGAGACAGAGATGGAGATGGTGCTGGGCAGAGTGAAACACACACACACACACACATGGAGGGGCATGGCTAGCCTTTGCAGGCCCCTCTGTTGACCTGACTTGGATTCTTCATCCCGTGTCCCCGCCCGCAGTTCCACGGAGAAAAACTGCTGCGTGCGGCAGCTCTACATAGACTTCCGCAAGGATCTGGGCTGGAAGTGGATCCACGAGCCTAAGGGCTACCACGCCAACTTCTGCCTGGGGCCCTGCCCGTACATTTGGAGCCTGGACACGCAGTACAGCAAGGTGCGTCGGGCCCTGGGCTGGCGATAGCAGGGACTGAGAGAGGGAGGGAAGGGAGAGGAGGGAGGGTTTCACTCAGAGGTGAAGTGGGGAAAGGAGAAACAGATAAGACAGACTGGAGGAGAGGGTGATAAAGAGATGGGAAAGAAGCTAGAGACCGGGTGGGCACAGTTAAAGACAAGGCATATGGGGAGACCCACCTGGCAGAGTAGCTTGGAAGGAGAAAGAGAGACCGAGCGATGAGACAGAATGAAAAAGGCAGCAAGGCACGGGTTGATACATAGAGACAAGGAGGTGGAAGGAGAAAGAATGATTGAGATACAAATCAAGAGTGGGACACGTGGAGAGGCGGATATTGACCTGCCGGGTGAGAAGAGGTGGAGGGAGGTGGGAGCAGTCTGACTCCTGCGCTGACCCGCCCGCCCTCCCGCAGGTCCTGGCCCTGTACAACCAGCACAACCCCGGCGCGTCGGCAGCACCGTGCTGCGTGCCGCAGGCGCTGGAGCCCCTGCCCATCGTGTACTACGTGGGCCGCAAGCCCAAGGTGGAGCAGCTGTCCAACATGATCGTGCGCTCCTGCAAGTGCAGCTGAGCCCCTGCCCCGCCCGCCCGGCAGGCCCGGCCGCCTCCCCTAGCCCCGCCGGCTGTATGTATTTAAGGACACCGCCCTCCCCGCCCCTCCCGGCCAAGCCCACCTCGGGGCCCATTAAAGGTGGAGAGAGGACTAGGGTCTCAGTATCTTGGCCTGACAGGGTCTCTCTACCGATGTTCCTGGGCTCCCGCTCCACCTGCCGCTCCGCTCCGTCTCTTCCCTTTTCGTTTGCCCTCCTCACCATTTACCAAGCCCTTATGTTCCGTGTACTCCTGGTAAGCACTAGACTTATTTATTGAGCACTTTGGGCCCTGTTCTAAGTGCATATGTTAATCAACTCACACAATCACCACAACCAAGCTCCGAGATACGGGGATTCTAATAACGCCCACTTTAAAGGTGAGGAAACCAGTCCAGAGAGAATAGTTCCTGCCCACCGGGAACCTTCTTCCCAGGAAGAGGACGGCATGTAAACGGCACGGCACGAAGGCAGGAAACAGGATGGAGTGAGAGATGGGAGAGGGAGGATTTCTTGGAGGAGGTAGCTTTTGGGACCTGAAGGCAGCTTAGGGAAGGAAGAGGGAGGACAGGAGGAAAGGCCTGGAAGTGAGGATAAACTCGGGGTGAGGGAGGGAGGAATGAGGCCAGTGTGGTTGGAAGGGAGGGGCACTGGGGCAGGGTGTTGGGAGCTGAGTCAGTGGTAACACTCACAGGCCAGAGTGATAATCCTCCACGCCAGGTATGAATCTCCCAGCTCACTGCATTCTCCCCACGGCGCAGCAGAGCGGGGGTTGGCAAACTACAGCCTGCAGGCAAATTCTGACCTGCTGCCTGTTTCTGTAAATAAAGTTTTATTGGAGCACAGCCATGTCTCTGGCTGTTTTAGTGCTACAAGGGCGAAATCGAGAAGAAACTGTGTGCAAAGTAAAAAATATTTGCTATTGGGCTCTTTGTAGAAAAATCTTGCCAACTCCTGCTATACAGACCACTTACAGATGGGAATAGTGTGGCGCAGAGAAGGCTGCTAGGCAGCGGGAGTTCAGGGTCTCTGCACCGGTACTGCTTGCCAGAGCACATCAGCCCTGGGGATGTGGGAACCTGTGAGGATCTGTACCCCAGGGGAGGATGGGCGTCATGACAAGATTCTGTATAAAGAGGGGATATGATCTGACTTAGGTGCTTAGAGCCCTTTGGCTGGTGGCTGAGAGGAGACTGGAAGGAGCCACAGGTGACTGCAGGGAGAACAGGGTTCCGGTGGGAGATGCGGGTGCCTGCACTGGGTGGGTCCCCTCTGGGCCTTGTTTCTTCCCATCTGCTGTGGTTGCTTGTGAATCCACCCTTGCTTCCTCTTTCTCCGGCATCTTGGTTTCCTCTCCTCCTTCCAGGTTTCAGTTCCCTTATCTGTCCCTTCCCTTTCCCAGGTCCCAGGCCCTGAACTACTGCTTCGCCCAGAGGTACCCGGGGGGAGAGCTGTGTGAGTTCCAGTTTCCTTTGCCCGTGGGCAGCACTAGGTCTGAATGAGTGGGTCCTGGGATCCTACCAGCCAGCCCAGCCTAGGCTAGCCATGTGGTCACTCCACCCGCTGCAGGTCTGGGAGCCGTGAGGGCTGGGTAGCATGGGGGCAGGAGGAGGTCACTATGCAAGGAAATGCAGCCATTGTCACAGGGCTCCTATGAAAGGACATGGTGACATGGAGTCACTGCAGCCTCTGAGGATGTGGCACACAAGTGCACATATTCACACATACAGGAGGTGAAGTCGGGCAGCGTCCCACAGCCACACAAATACATGCCCCTCTCAGAGCCACAATGAACACACCAGAACTCCTGCAGGACACGTGGCAGCAGGCACAGCCCACATGTGACATCCCGTTACATAGCCCAGCCTGGAGCCTCACTGGGACCCAGCACAAGCAGAGATGTCAATAGGGACACAGCAAAACACACCCAGCATCCTGTAGGGTCATGGTCACAAGCACCACACACCAGACAGATTCAGAGACTGTCACACACCTCACAGGATAAGGAAATGAAACAGGCCACCAGCAGTTTACACAAACATCCTCTACGGATGGGGTCATAGTCACAAACAGGCACACGACTGATTCGTCGCAGTCCAGACACACACCATACATGGAGGTCTGACACACCACGATCTCACAGACTGCCCGGTGGTCATGCCCATTCAGTTTGACATTTCACGGTCCTACACACTCAGGCCTGGGGAGTCCCACATGGCCCAGCAGACGGCAGCTGACCCGTCATAGCCAGACACACTGTCACAGCCCGGCCTGGTCCCAGACGGAGCAGTCCCACAAACCCAGACACCTCCCCAGGGTCGTGGCCCTCACAAGCCCAGCTCGTGCCTGGGCCTCAGGACAAGTCCTGGCTGCACCCTGGGAATTCACTCACCCCCAGCGCTGAGCCCTGGCCACTCCCTCCGGACACACCCCACCCACCTGCCTGCTGCCAGAAAAACTCTGGGCTCAGCACCTTCTCACCACGTGAGCTCTGCTCGGGCCCCGCCCTCCTCACTGGGGTGGCCAGGCCCAGTAGGGATAAGGCAGCTCAGGCTTCCAGCCAACCGCATGGACAGGACCCGGGGTTCAGGGTGTCCTCCCCTCCCCCAAAGCCTAGGCTCAGGGAGGGAAGTTGAAGGGGGGTAGCCTGGGTTCCGGCTGGAGCCCCAGCTTCCTATCCAGCCCCCAGAGGGCAGGAAGCTGGGCTAGGGGAGGCCAGCTCAGGCTTTCCTGCCCCCTCCCCCAGACAGGCTTGGGACTGGGGTGAATGGGTAAGAGAGAGAGAGAGACAAACAGCCCATTGCCCCCTACATCTCTGGACATTCCAAGCGTTGGTCTCTTGTGTTTCCAATGTGAATTTGAAGGTGTTCAGAACCTTTGTGTGTGTGTTCCCAAGTTTTGTGGTGTGAGTTTTATGTGCCTAGCATGGGGGTCTCCCACATACCAACTGGGTGCCCACAGGCTGTGTGGGGATTTTCAGTGTGTTCCCAGCACACGTTATGCTCAGTGCTGGGGACAGCCGTGTTCCTGGTGTGTATGGTTGCTGTACAGGTCGGTGTGCTCTCTGGGCTCTGTGTCCTGACACGTGTGGTTGGGGAGGTCTGTGTTACAACAGGGTGATGTGCCTGGAGCGTGTTTTATGTCTGAAATTTCTTGCTTATCATCTTTGCCACTTTCCTCCGGGTGTGTTTGTATATACTTAGTGTAATTTTGACTTGAAATGTGGATATTTTGTGTATGTTTATGGGCCTGGGAGAAAGATGTGTTTCCAGAGGTGGTATGTCTTGTTTCTTACACGAGCCGTTTTCCGTGTGTGTGTGTGTGTGTGTGTGTGTGTGTGTGTGTGCACGCGCGCGTGCGCGCCCGTTGTGGGGAGTGGGGTTTTCAGCCCCTCTGGGTGTCTGAGCAGGTGGCGTCTGTATTGTGAGCAGTTGTGTGGATTTCTATTTTGCTCGCCTTTAAGGGCATTTTGAGCTCTCAGTGTGTGTGTGTGTGTTCATGAGAATTCTGTGCTAACGTTTCCAGGGGAGGGAGGATTGTGCGTCTTCAGTGAAGTTGCTGGCATCCTGGGCAACAAGCCCAGTGGCCTCCGGGCTGAGTGGAGGCTGCATCTGCGGTATGTCCCCTCGCCGGCTGGTGCCACGTTGGCTCGGCGCTGGCTGTGGCGGGCAGGGCAGGGCAGGGGCTGCGGTGGGCACTGGACCCGTGCCCAGCCCTTGGTATAAATATCCCGGGCTGCCGGCGGCAGTGTTTACTCTGTCCCAGCCCGGGGGTGGTGGCAGCCCAGCAGGTCCTGGGGGCCAGTGGAGGGGGGGTGGTGACCAGGCCACAGCACAGACACTTCCTTCTGGCCAGACAAGCTGTAACCTCACTGCCCTTCCCACCCCCTTTCTGGGTGGAGGTGACCCCTCATTCTGGGCTCCCAAGTGCCACCAGTGAACCTCTAACCTGGATGTCTGCTCTGGGTTTCCAGGGTTTGGGAGCCAGAGAAGAGACAGAGATTGAGATGATGCGATGGGGGCTGGCCAAGAGGCAGCAGGGAGAGGGATAGGAAAACATGAGGGCAAACAGAAGCAGGAGTGACACAGAGAGGGGACGCCCCAACAGAAAGCAGGGGAAACGGGGACATGAGACAGTGAGGGACTCTCAGGGAGTGAGGAGGGAGGGAAAAGAGGCCGAGGCCCAGGCCAAAGGAGGAAGAAAGGGTAGACATGACAGCCAGAGAGGGGCAGAGACAGAACGAAGGGGTGATGGAGAGGAGGGTGGGGGTTAGAGGGAGCGAAGCAGAACAAAGGACAGAGCAGGCAGGCAGGCCTTGGAGGCTCGTGGAGTCCATGTCAGCTTTGGCAGGACACAGAGGTGTCAGACGTGGGGGTGGCAGCCAGGACAGACAGGAGACTGGGGGTGGGGGCCGGATGTGCACGGACTCTCCCCCAGCAGGGCCCTCCCTCCCTGACTCAGCCTCTCCACCCACCCCAATCCAGACCTGGGAGCTAGGGACAGGCCACTGGGGCACCTCCAGGTCTCAGCGCGGAGGCCGTGACCTTTGGGAAGTGTCTCTCCATCCCTCTTGACTAGCTCCACCTCCACCGCAGCTACAGATGCTGGTCACCCCATCTGACTCACCCCAATTCTTACTAACAGTGTTCACCTAAACACAAAATAAAGCAAGTTTATGTACGGCACAGTATACCACACATTTAATGACCGAAGGTGACAAATGTGCAGAGGGCCGATGCCTGGAATAGGAGTTGAGGGCATAAGCCCAGGTTCCAGGACACATGTCTCTCCCGTGAGTCAGCCTGCCGGGACGATGCTGGCCTCCTCCGGGAGGTGGATTATCTATACTGATAGCACCAGACGCACAGCACGCTGTGATGGTTGTGATGCAAACACTGGCTTCTCCGTCAAGATGATTCAGTCAGGTCTGTGTGCAGGACGGCGCCTGGTGCCGAGAGGCCCCCGAAGCTTAGCTGCTATCATCATCAACAGCTAACTCTCTCGCCTTCCCGTCTGAGGACGTCTGTGCCTCTGTCCCCTCTGCATGCCCGATAGCTGACAGCCGGCCAGGAGAGCTCTCTGGGACGTGTGGTTCTTTCTAGACCTGCCTTTTCATCTCTGAAGGCTGCCCTCCTTCCTGGGCCTCCCCTGCCCGGTCTGAGTCGAGTCCCTAGTTCGCAGCGATGTCGGGAGGATTCCGTGCAATGTCAGGCACCTGGCTTGGGCCTGGCACGGGATAGAACTGCTCAGAAATCAGAACTTTCCTTTTTTAAAGTCTCATTGAACAGCCTGAGTGTCCCAACGTGCCCATCCAGCTCTCACTTTCTGTGTCTGGCTCTAATTCTGGCTGACCCAGAGGGCAGAGCTGAGGCCTGGGGGTCCAGTCATGGCCCCTGGGGGCCTCAAGGCCTCTGCTCACTAAGGACTACACGCCCCAAGAGGCTTTTTGGGGGGTCCTTCAGGCTTGGCTGTGGAAGGATGCCACTACTCCTGTGCACAGGGCTGAGGCCCCAAGCCCCGCCTCCCCGATCCTTGGCCATGCTCTCCTCCAGCAGACGGCCCTTTTCCATGTGTCTACGGGGGAGCATGAGCTGGGTGTGGGGGCCTGGGAAGGCGGGATGCCTGGGTTCCCACAGGCCGGTGGCTGAGTCACCAGGCGGCCATCTGGCTCCCATTAGCCGGGGAGGCAGGGGGCTCTGTGGGGCGGGCCTGTGGCTGGCTGGGGGCAGAGACGAGGGGCAGCCTGTGTGTGTGGGATGACTCAGGACCCATGATAACAGCCTGCGCGTATTTGGGGAGTGTAAACAAGTGGGAGAGAGAGGCAGAGGAAGTGAAGAAAGGGAAAACTGTGGCTGGGCAGAGAGGGGTTGTGGGCTGGGAGGGGAGAGTACCCCTCCCCCCACTCCTGAGCTGGCAGGCCCACGATACCCAGTGCTTTCCCTGCCCATCCCTCCCAGCCTGGGTCCCAGTGGAGAGGTGATGGCTGTGGCCACCTCTCTGGTCTCCACCTGTCTGCATTGTCTACTAGGGATGACACTGAAACCCAGAAAGGCTGGGAGATGGAAACGGACTGGCAGGAAGAACCACAGGCCACAAGGCCAAAGGAGAGAAGGGGACTTCCAGAGGCAAGGAGAGCCTGACGAACGGGACAGTGAATAACAGGGTAGGGACCAGGAGGGGAGACAGCTAGCTGCTCTGGGGCCCAAGGAGCAGCCTGACCCCAGTTGGGCACTGGTGTCGACTTGGATTGTTCTAGCTACAAAGGGCCCTGCTGGACTTGGTCAGGGAAGGACGTTCACCCTGTTGTGGGGACAGAGGCCAAGGCACAGAATGAGGAGGAGAAACAAAGGCAGAGGAAAGAGATCGAGGTGGAGAGGGAAACACAGAAAGCAGGAGACAGAAAGACAGTGAGAAAAACAGACCAAAGACCGAAAACCCCAGAGGGACAGCCATGAAGACAGAAGCAGGGTTGGGTTGGGGGGAAGGTTGGGAACCGCAAACACAGCGGGAGGGGCAGTCTGAGATGGGACCAGACCCTATAAGGCAGCTTCGCTGGGGCCCCTGGAGAGTCTCTGGGCCAGCCTCTGACCAGCCGCCTTGTTTTGGGGGGCAGGGCGGGTGGCTGGGCCGTCAGTCCCCGTCTAGCTCCGGGCTGGGTGCATCCTCAGGCTCCTCCTCATCAAAGTACCTCTCCTCCTCATCCCGGGCCACGATATCCAGGTTGTCGAAGTCGGGGTTATCATCCACGGCGCTGCAGAGGGAAGGGGGTGTCAGAGGCTGGCTCTGCCTGGCCCAGACCCCTCCCTTTGGGGAAGCGGGGGAAATGGCTAGGCCCCGTGAGGTCAAAGGCCACATGCTGGCAGCTCTAAGATCCAGCTAACCCCCCTGAGGGGGATGCTGGATCTCTCAGGGCTTCAAACAAAGGCAATATTTTACATAAAACTTCTGACTTCTCTTGGAAAGCTGGAAGATGTGATGTGATGTGGTGACACTGGGGCCCACATTCCCAAGGCAGTGGTTCTCCACCTGGAAGGCTGTGTCCCCACAGACATCTGGTGATAACCGGAAACCTTTGGTTGTCACAACTAGGGAGCTGCTACTGCCGAGTGGGTGGAGCCAGGTGCTACTCAGCGTCTGGTGCACTAGGACAGGCCCCCTCACAGAGTCATGTTGTCCCAAGATCATTAGTTCTGAGGCCCAGAAACTGCATTAAAGTGACAAGGGATCCTAACATGTGAGGAGCCGGACAGCACTGCAAATCCTCCCGCACCTCTCATCACGCTCATTTTGTGCAGAAAGCCCTGTCCATTCTGCCCTCCTCTCTGACGGGACCTCCTACTGCTGCTCCCTCCTGCCCCCCGGGCAGCCCTGCTGTTCTTCCTTCTTCTGTGCAGCCTTAGGGCTCTTCCCCAATATCTGTCACCCACCCCTCACTTCCTGCAGGTGTCTCCGCAGAGCCTTCCCTGGCCACCTTGTCTCCCCTCATCCCCACCTTTCCTCCATGGCCCATCACCACTGAACACTTGATGCTTGTTTTCCTCACCACAGGGGGACCTCCTTCAGGGCTGGGAGTCCTCTCATCGGTTTTGTTTCCTGCTTTATCCTAAGCCTGGAACTCAGCACGAGGTGGCTGAACACCAGAGGGACCATGTGGCCCTGCTGCCCAGCAGTGCCCCCTGGAGAGGGCACAGGCTTCGCCTCCATCATTCCTCATTTCTCACGCCAGGCCTGGATTCCTTGTGGGTTTTATGGCGGCAATGGTGCTCTCATTGAGGGTTCCCATGGTCTAGGCGCTCACCCACTTTCTCTGTGGGCATTCAGGCTGCAAGGCTGGCCCAGGCTGGCCCAGCTGACTCCAGAGCCAGGGAGTCCAGATTGGGCCAGTGGCTGTTATGATCCCCACTTCAGCTGACGTGCCCCCAAGGTCTTCTTGTTCACATTGCAGCAGAGTGTGTTTGAAACAGAGCCCTTTGCTGCCACAAGGCGAGACTGCCTCAGTGGACAAACCACTTATCTTTGGTTTTGATAGTTCACTCTCTTGTGTCCTCCCTGATAGAAAAATCCTTTTCAAAGCAGGTGGCCCACGCACCTTGGCCTTGAGGTTATACTGGAGAAAGCAGCCACCACAGGTCCCTCCCCGGCAGACATTAGCGTTGCCAGGGATTACTTCCAGCAGCATGAAGAGGTGAGGGGGACATTTGGGAGGCCTGGGGTAGTGGCATCCTGCTTGGCCACCCCACTTGCCAAGTGAAAATGTTTCAATATCTTATCAATATTGAGCTGAATGTCAGCCCTGCTCATTCCCTCCTTACATTTGGGGAGAGGACTGAGGCTCTCAGATGGACAAGGTCAGTTCAAGATCACCCACTGATCTTTGCTGATCTGAAACCATGAGGCTGCCTGACCCCAGGGCCATGGCCTGGAACTATTCTGGGACCTTCTAGCATTACGAAGGGAGGCCTCCATGGTGAGGCCGGGGACCTGGCAGGCAGCTGAGAGCTACAGGGTGCTGGGCTGGGGGCGGGGAGGTAGAGGCATGAAGCACCTGTAGTCAAAGTCCCCGTCCTTGCCATCCAGGAAGCGCTGGTGCATCCGGCTGGTGAACTCTTCCCGCAGGATCAGCCTCTCCTCTGAGTCGGGGACCCAGGCCTCCGAGTCTTTGTCAGAGCTCTGGTCTGTGGGGGAGACACCCAGTGTGGGAGAATGAGGGGCACACTCAGGGAGGTGCTGAACACAGTTCAGAGAGCTGCATCCTTTGTGCTGGGTGGCCCCGGGAACATAACAGTGACCAGAAAGCCCGCAGTCCCTGCCCTCCTGGAGCACACACCGAGCACGTGACAACCAGTGCTCCGGGGGCTGCAGAATAGGGTCAGGACCAGACACCTGAGGGTGGTGAAGGGAGGCACTCCCGGCAGAGGGAACGACTGCTTTTGAGGAGTGGGGGCAGAGATGCTGGAGAGGTTGGGAAGGGCTAGGGCACACATGGCTCTTGGGTCAGGCAGGACAGGGACTCGATGTCTACTCCTGCAGGTGGGCCCAGCCTGGTGCCATGGACTGAGGAGACACGCAGGCCCAGGACTGCCGAGTCCAATACTGGGGCTCTCCTGCTGCTGGTCCTCACCTTCCTTGTCACTGTCCTCTTCTTCTTCCTCCTCCTCCTCCAGGCAGGCCTCCTCCTCCTCCTGCTGCTGGAGCAGCCGTTGCTGCAGTTCCTGTTCCTGGTAGGACTGCAGCAGCAGGTCGGAGAGTGAGCAAGCGGGTGTGCCGGGGGAGCCGGGCTTGGGTGGCTGGTGGGCTGGGGTGCGGGCACCGAGCTCCTCCTGGGTTAAGTACTGCCCGATGTACTGCTCATACAGCAGTGGAGCCCGGAACCGCATCTGCTCGTCACTGAAGTACTCGCCCCCTGCACAGAGGAGACAAGAGTGGGGTCAGGAGCCTAGGGGCAGGGCCAGGAGCTGCGTGCAGGGTGAGGGTATCTGAGCAGATGTGTGTCCATGCGTGTGTGTGTGTGTGTGTGTGTGTTTATACTTGTAGGAAGACATGAGCACACAAGTGTGAGTGTGCATACATTCAAATATGTAGGAAAATATGCAGATGCCTGAGGTCCTGTGGCCACCAGTATTCATACATGCATCTGAGCACATTTGTGTGACCAGGCCTATACTAGTATCTGCATGCTTACTCATGTGTCCAAGCATGTCTGCACAGTAAGGCCCATGAATATCCTGCCCCTGGGCACTGGTGGCCTGGGGCCTGTGGACAATATGCCAGGGCAGGACTCACGATCTCCTGCCCATGTCCTCCTGCCCAAACACTGCCACAGGTACCTGTGTGACTGTAGGCAGTCAGCAGGATGTTGCAAGCACATGTAGCTGCAGTCTATAAAAGCTGTGCGTGCCTGTCCATTGAGCCCCATTCTGGCTGTTGGTGCACACTTCTGGACACCTAAGTGTGTCTGGCATGTGTGAGCACAGGTAGAACATGGTCTCTGCCCAGGTGTGGTTTTCCTGGTGGTCTTCCAGACCCCAGCTCTCCCTAGTGCTCCTCTCTGCAGCCAACCCTCAGGTGGGCCCGGCATCCCTCACCCTAAACCTGGCTCCTCTGCATCTCTCCTGAGTGCCTGTTCGTGCAGGGGCAGTTCTGTCCCTCAGCTGACAGTTAAACCGAGCCTGGTCCCTCCTGCCCTACTTTCAGAGCCCAGGGTGGGAATCTGCCGATATCCTGGCTTCTGGAGCACCTCCCATCTTGCCCTCTCTTACCCCCAGCTTTTGTGTTTCCCACCATATTCTTTCTTTCCCTCTTTTCCTGGCACTGTCACCCTCTCCTTTTCTGACCTGTTTCTGTCACCCTTCCCCTTCCCCTTCCCCCCCTTTCTCTCTCCTATTTTCATCTTGCTCATCTGTTGCTGTCCCCCACGCTTTCATTTCCTTCAGCTCATGCCTCTTCCCTAACAAGAAACTTCACTCTCTCTCTGCTTCATTTGCTCTCATCTTTTACCTTTAGTTCTGCTGTCTTTGGTCACAAAAACTCCTGTCATGTCATGGTAAACAAGTACTGACTGATGTTTTCCTTTACGGGTGTCTTGTCTGGAGGGCTTTATGTTCCAGGGTCATAAACACACTCCCCGAGATTCCCAGCAATGCCTCTGTGTTCGGAGTGAGGGAGGGTTAATTTTCCTGACAGACAACCAGTTATCACGGTTCTGGGCACTGTGTCCCTGGTTCACAGATCTGAAATTGGTACTTCGGTCATTCCCCTGGGTCCCTATTGTGTAGTCTACCTAATCTCACCCTGTCACTTCACATCTGTCTGTCTCTCCCTGAATCCCTGGCTCAGCACTTATCCCCCAGGATCTCTGTCTGTGTTTCTGAGTTGCATCCTTCTTATTTGCTCTGCCAGGCTTTCCCTTCCCATCCAGTCCACCTGCCCCCACACCTTGGATGAGCTCACGCAGGGCAGCATAGCGCCGGTTGCGCAGGCGGGTACGCAGGGTGCGGGGCCGGGCGGTGCCCTGCCGGGCTACCTCGGCACAGTAGAAGTCCGCGCGGTGATCACCACGTAAGTGGCCGAAGCAGGCCAGGTGCTCCTCGCGGAGGCCTGTGCGGAAACGCTCTAGAAACACCAGTGGCTTCTCGTGATACAGCTGGCCCAGGATGGCCACCTTCTCCTGCTCCGTCAGGTCAGGCTCTCCTTGCTGCTGGCTGCATACAGGCAGGTGGCTGGCAGCCACGGCATGCAGCATGGCACTCACTGCTACATTCTCAGTCCCGGAGGCGTCACTGCCCGGGGCCTTTGGTGCTCCCTCTGCTGCTTCCACCTTGTCCAGGGGTCTCGATGGGACTGGCATCCAGCTCAGCTCTCCCCAGTGCCCAGAACTGGGCTCTGTGCAGCCTGTGGATAGAGGGGAGATTTCTTAATCTGGGATGGGGGGTGAGGGTGAGTAGGAGGGTCTGGGTGCTCAGTCCCTCACTCCACATATATTGAGCACCTACTATAATTTGGGCACTGTGTTAGGCCCTAGAGATACCACGATAAACAAGAAATTGATATTCAGTGGGAGACAGATAATAAAAAACATTTACTAAAACATTTACATATAGTGTGTGGTGGTTTGAGAGCTCTGCAAAAAAATACAGAGGGATGGAAAGAAGAGGGAATGGGGGGCAGGGAGGAGAAAGGTTACAATTTGCTGAAACCGGTTTGGCTTAGTGGATAGAGCATCAGTCTTCGGACTGAAAGGTCCCAGGTTCGATTCTGGTCAAGGGCATGTGCATTGGTTGCAGGCACATCCCCAGTGGGGGGTGGGGGGGTGCGGGAGGCAGGTGGTCGATGTTTCTCTCTCATCGATGTTTCTAGCTCTCTATCCCTCTCCCTTCCTCTCTGTAAAAAATCAATAAAATATATATATATTTTTAAAAAAGACTGCAATTTTAAGACAGAGAAAGCTTGCCTAAAAAATTACATTTCAGTTGAGACCTGGGATGGTGGGAAACTGAACATTTCTGGGGGAGAAGAGTTTCAGACAGGGGGAACAGCCAGTGAAAGGCCCTGAGGCAGGAGTGCATTTGGTGTAGTTACTTGGTTCTTTACCACTTCATTGATTCACTCAATTTTTTGCCTTTTCATTTGTTCACAAATGAATTTAACACATTCAAAATTTAATACATTCGCTAACTTGCTCACTCATTTATTCATTCTCTTCCAAACCATTCATTTTTTATTTTTACATTTATTTTTTATTGATTTTTTACAGATAGGGAGAGAGATAGTTAGAAACATTGATGAGAGTGAAACATTGATCAGCTGCCTTCTGCACACCTCCCACAGGGGATGTGCCCACAATCAAGGTACAAGCCCCTGACAGGAATTGAACCTGAGACCTTCCAGTCCACAGGCTGACGCTCCATACACTGAGCCAAACTGGTCAGGGCTGTTTTTGTTTTTAAAAAAATATATTTTATTGATTTTCCACAGAGAGGAAGGTACAGGGATAGAGAGCTAGAAACATCGATGAGAGAGAAACATCAACCAGTTGCCTCCTGCACCCCCCCACTGGAGATGTGCCCGCAACCAATGCACATGCTCTAGACCGGAATCAAACCTGGGACCTTTCAGTCTGCAGACTGATGCTCTACCACTGAGCCAAACCGGTTTCGGCAGGGCTCAGTTAAAAAAAAAAAAAAAAAAAAAAAAAAAAATATATATATATATATATATATATATATATATATATATTTATTTATTTATATATATATATATTTATTGATTTCAGAGAGGAAGGGAGGATAGAGATAGAAACACCAATGATGAGAATCATTAACTGACCCCCACACCGGGGACTGAGCTCAAAACCCAGGCATGTGTCCTGACTGGGAATCGAACTGTGACCTCCTGGTTCATAAATCCCAGCCAGGCACGGGAAGATTTAAATACACAAAAATATTTTTTTAAGGCTGACTAGGGTAGGGGCTATCGAAGAGGGGACAAGAGGAGTGGTGGCGAGAAAGATGTCTGGGGCCCGGCTGGCATGGTTCAGTGGTTGAGTGTCTACCTAGGAACCAGGAGGTCAGGGTTCAATTCCTGGTCAGGGCACATGCCCGGGTTGTGGATTCGATCCCTAGTGTGGGGCATGCAGGAGGCAGCTGATGAATGACTCTCTCTCACTATTGATGTTTCTCTCTATTCCTCTCCCTTCTTCTCTGAAATTAATTAAAAATATTAAAAAGAAAAAATGTATCTGGGAAGCCAAGTACATAAGCCATGGGGCTGAAGGGCTGGAAGGTAAGGGAGGTATCCAATTAAGATCTAGGGCTCTGGCCCCTGAACTAGTCAAACTGTGTCTGAGACAAAGACATGGACGAGCAAGTTTGAGGGAAGATGCTGATGCCAGATCAGGACATGGAAGGTAAGAGGGAACTAGGGGACACTCAAGGGAAGCATTTAAGAGACCATTAGTATACGGAACTAGAGACTTCTCAGGAGAGAAGTGCTGGGCTGGGGACAGAGTTGTGGGGGTTATAGATCAAGACAATTAAAGCTGAAAGAAATTAGAGGTCATGGGGAGGGCAGGGGCAGAGACATAAGTGAGATGAGAAAAGAGGGACTAGGAAAGAGCCCTAACTGGATGGGAAGAAGATATTATATGTCTATGAAAGATTCTTAAAAAATGGTCTCCAGCCAAAACCAGTTTGGCTCAGTGGATAGAGCGTTGCCCTGCGGACTCAAGGGTCCCAGTGGGCATATCCCCAGTAGAGGGTGTGCAAGAGGCAGCTGATCGATGACTCTCTCTCATCAATGTTTCTAACTATCTCTCTCTCCCTTTCTCTCTGTAAAAAATCAATAAAATATACATTTTTTAAAAAAGGTCTCAAAAAAGACAGCCATGTCTTAGTTCCTGGAACTTGTTAATGTTACCTGGTATAGCCAACGACAATAGCAACAAAGGGGTCTCTGTCAATGTGATTAAGTTGAGCATCTGAGATGGGGAGATTATCCTGCTTTATCCAGGTGGGCTCTAAAAGCCATCACACGTGTCCTGTAAGACTTGACATACATGGAGGAGATGGCAATGTGAAGATAGAGGGAAGCAGAGATTGGAGTGATGTGGCCACAACCAAAGAATGCCGGGAACTGCCAAAAGGTGGAAAAGGCAAGGAATGGGTTCTTCTTAGAAGCATTGAGGTGCCCTCCACTGTCTTGCTGGTGCCTAGATACCAGCCCAGTGATACGGATCTGACTCTGGCCTCAAGAACGGTGAGAATAAATTTCTGTTGTCTAAAGCCATCCCGTTTGTGGTAATTTGTGGCAGCAGTCTTGGCAAACAAATAGAGGCTGAGCTCGATAGGAAGGAAATCGGAAAGGGTGTCAGAGAAACCAAGGGAAAACCTTAAAGAAGGACGGAGAGGTCAATAGCACGTATTCTCCATGTTGTCTAATGAGAAAAAAACTGAATGGGGTAACACAGGGAGGTCACTGGAGACCCTAACCAGAGCAGTTCCTGAAGGTAAAAGCCAGATTGCAGTGGGTGGGAGATGGGGAAATGGAAAAAGTATGGATGACTCTTTGGAAAAGGTAAGATGGTTTCTGGAAGGCAGCATGGAATTAAGAGATAGATTTTCTCTTTAGGTTAAAACATTTTTTTTTATTATGGAAAATTTCAAACATGCACAAAAATAGAGAGTACAACCACTCCAACCCCCCAGTAATCCAGCTTCAACAATTATCAATTTTTGGACAGTGATGTTTCAGCCTCCCACCCACACTTCACCCCACATGGGGCTACTTTGAAGCAGGGGGATGGAATTTTGGGATGAGCAAAACAAAAGCATTTTAGATACTTATGGGAAAGCATCAGGAGAAATAGATTTAAAATGCAATGGAGAGATCGGGGAGCACAGAAAATGACTAAGCACCCTGAGGTGGCAGAAGGGGCTGTGAACTTTGGGGGTAGAATTAGAATGAAATGGAGGAAACCGTTAGTCTGAGGTAAGTCGAGTTTGCATGGGGCAGAAGGAAAGCTAGTCTGGGGAAAGGGAAGCATCAGCTACACAAATGAAGGAGGAAATTTGAGAAACAGGGTTGGCTGAGACACAGGTGGGGTAAGCCCGGGGCAGGGGAGCGGTTGTTAGCTGACCTGAGAATTAGCCAGGAGGAACTGGGACACGGAAAAGGCTGGCGTGGAACGTGCTGAAGTTTAATTTCGGGGAAGGGGACACAGTAAAGGAGGTCAGCCCGCAAAGAGAGGGGTTAATCTGGACAAAGTGGTGAAGGGACAGGTAAGGTCGAGGGCTGGTGTCCCTCTATAGAGACCTCCGTCGCGAACTGGGAATCATTTTCCAAAGACACCGCAGCCCCACCTTTCCGCTGCCTCCGTGTCGCCTTGACCTCACCTTCATCAGGTTCCCTTGCCGCCGCCGCCACAGCCTCCATCCAGACTTTCTACGCCTTTTAGCCGCCGCGGTAGGCTCAGCACATTTAACTCGGCCCCAATCCCTAAGCGGCCTCTTCCGGTTGAGCACTCCACCTGAGGTCCCGATGCCCCGCTGCACCCAGAATCAAAGTTCCGGGCCGAAGGCGGACCTTCCTATGCGCATGCGTGTCTCGCTTAAGCTCCCCTCTCCGAAGCCAGGAAGGAAGCCACCCGGGTCAGAGGCCTAACATTTGGTTCGTCCACCTCCAACCTGAACTTCTACGGAACTGGAATATCAGCAGGAAGATGGACCATTGTTCAACCTGTTCACTGCAGTAATTCCAAACCCGGCATCCTTAACTTTGGGGTGGATGACTGGGTGAATGAGACCCTTAAGGGCTTCAAAGGGTTTGTGCTCTAGTTTTAAACGCCAGCCTTTCCTTTTATTTTTTCCACCATTTAAGCCTTGTCTCTTGCGCTGTCATCACACCCAGTCCCTGGTTAGCATGAGATGGGTGAGGACTGGGACAATCTGCAGGCGTGGAGAAAAACGTGGCCTTAGAACTTATTAGGTAGTAAGTAGACATGTCAATAGTGACTGTCCTGTAAGTTCAGGGCTCTAATGTACTGAGGGGCTAAGGGAGCTGCCATCCATTCTGGAGGCCCAGGGAAGGCTTCTTTTGGAGGATAGGATGTCCCAGTTGAGACTTGAAAGATGATTTGTAAGGTGACCAGACGTCCCGATTTTAAACAATTTGTCCCACAGTGTTTAAAAAAAAAGTCCCGATTTTTAAAAAGAATCTTTTAAAAAATCGGGACTTTTTAAAACACCGCGGGACAAATTGTTAGAAATCGGGACTGTCTGGTCAACTTTAGGGCTGAAACCAGTTTGGCTCTGGATAAAGCGTTGGCCTGCAGACTGAAAGGTCCCAGGTTCGATTCCCTTCAAGGGCATGTACCTTTGTTGCAGGCACGTCCCCAGTAGGGGGTGTGTAAGAGGCAGCTGATGTTTCTATTCCTCTCCCTTCCTCTGTGAAAAATCAGGTAGGGGGATGGGCGAAGCCAAATATCTAGAGCACTCACATGGATAGTTCTGTTTGCTACAAAGGCTTCATATAAGAGTAAGTTCTAACTTTAAGGCCTTGATTGGGCGGCAGAGAATTGAAAACCTCATGTATATTTATGCAAGATTTCACATACACATGAATTTGGATCATGGCATTTTTATATTCAAATGACTTGACTCCCCCCAAATCACTGATCCAAAGTGCAACGGGGGAACAGCAAAAGATGAAGCCAGTGAGGTAATCAGGAGCCAGGTATGAGGCCTCATAAGCCATATTAAGTAGCTTAAGCTCCTTTATATTTTGTGGGTTTGGGGCAAATGGTTTCAGGGGCACTGAAGGTAAGGGAGTTCTGTGAGGAGGCAGGTGCAGTTATCTAGATATTGGCCAGGACCAGTTTGCATTCCGAGCACATCTCTCACACAGGATAGTAGATGGGTACTACACTTAAATGCATGGAGGCCAGCAGAGGGAGCTATTGCTCAAGACATAGACCAGAATTAGTAAGATTTTCCAGGATAAAGGCCTGGAGGCCTTGCATAGCAGGGAGAGTGGGCACTTACTCTAGCATCTTTCAATCCAACTAGCCACCAACTTCTACCCCTTATGTTTAGATATCCCACCCTGACCTCAAAACAATTTGCCTTTCTCCTTTTTATAGTGTGTGTCCTTTCCACACGCTGAGATACTTCCTGCGAGGGAAGGGATGCAGCTGAACTGGCTATTCCTGTGCTCGCTCCAGCATTGCCCCTCACAAAGGGCCAGGAACACAGCCTATCCAGAGGGAATGGAGAAATGACTCAAATTGCTGGGGATGATGAACTGTGGGAATGCAACCAGAATTTCCTTTAACTGGCTCACTCTAGGAAGCCCTTACCACCATCACCACTGTAGGCTCTCATAGCTGACTACTAGGTGCTTATCACCATTTGATGACAGGCCATTGTTACTTGTGGACTGGGAGTCCTGGGAGGGCAGGGTCCATGATTGCCTTGGTCACGCTGTCTCTCTCAGCACCATCCAGACCCAGTGAGGAACACGGCACGTTCCTAATGGCTGGATAAAGAAGCTCCTGTAATCTCCACGGGACTGGACCCAGACACAGACAGGAATTATCTTAAGTCCAGCTCACAGGCCAGGCCTGAGGTGGATGAGCAGTGATACCGAGTGATGACTCCTCCTATTAGTCTTACTTACACTCCACACCTAGGCATCTGGTTCCATACCTTCCAAACATGTTCTTGGAGACTTGGGACTGGGAATGGACTGGAAAGGGCAGCCACCAGAGAACCACTTCAAAAACGAACTAGTGGGCTTTAAACTAAGAGTCCCAGGTTTAAGGTGGCATCCCCAGCACCAAAAATGGGGCTAGGTATGGATCCTTCAATAAGTGTTTAATGAGTGGTAAACAATGTCCCCTTGAAAAGGCCCTCACCCCAATTAAAGGCCAATTGCACTTCAAGATTTCAACCCTTCTTCCTTCCTGCTAGGAGGTGCCATGTCATTTATTGAAAGAAAACAAAACAAAACAAAACAGGGGAAACACATTTCTTAATAAGTGCAGTCTGTTAAAATCCTGTTAAAACATACGGGTCAAGGGCAAGTAAAAATAATCAGAGGGTCACTGTAGGAAAAAGCTTTAGGTCTGCCACCTGGGAGATCTCTGGAGAGGAAGCATATTCTGAAGGGGACACCCCTCCCCCATTTCCTTCTCGCCAGCTTAATCCCACCAGAAACTACGAAGACGCCTGGAATAAAAGGTTTCAAGTTCAATAGTCACACTCTCTCCAAATACAAAAAGCAGTTACAATTCAACTCAACACAGAAGCTCGTGTGCAAAGTTATGGGAAACTGAGACATTGTATAAAAAGTTAGGTTAAAGATGATTTTGTGGTTTTGTTTTGAGGGTGTAGTTCTTCATTGGTTGCCTGAACTCAGCAAAGAAATGGTTTTCCTGATGAAGTATCAACAGCCAACCCACAGTAAAAACAGACAAATTCTAAAAATTAAAAAAAAGCATAATTACCAAAAAAATATCTGTCACTGCTTCCTCCCTCCATATTTTGTTTTTTTGTTTTTAAACTTTTTTTTTAATTTTTTGATTTTTTTTTTTAAATCCTGAAAAGTAGACAGTTAAAACAGCTCCTGAAGAATTTACAACCAACTGCATGAGGGTCTGGGAAGCTGAGGGTCTGGAGCAGGGCTGGGAAGAATGGACAGAAAGGGGTCCTGCCCTCAGTCATTATAGCATCACTGCATGACCAAGGAGGGGGGTGTATTTAGTCAAGAAGGACGGAAAGAGGAAGAGGAAGAGGAAGAAGGCAGGGAGAGAAAGAGAAAATAAGAGTTCATTGTTGCCTGTTTGAATCCAGAGAAAAAGGCCCAGCCCTGTGGTTGAAGAAGCCCCTCAGAGGGGAGGCAGTGGGCTGGAGGGAGGCAGCCCTGGGATGACCTGTCCCCAGCACCACAGGACCCGGTGGGGGCAGATGAGGGGCCGTGGTGGGCGCTGGTGGAGGAAGCCGGTAGGGGCCTCCAGGGTACACTGGCTACTGAGTGCTTGTGCCCCCCTGTGTGTTCCCGGTGTAGCTCCCGTAGTCGTAGTTCCCGTAGTATGGAGGCCACTGGCCCTGGTTCTGATAGTACTGGTTCCACTGCTGAGCATACTAGGGAGAAAACAAAAGTACAGAGTTGGCCCTCATCTAGACCTCCATTTTGTTCCTCCCCTCACCCCACTTTCACCCGGGGGAGAGATGGGTGCAGTGACAACAGCTGACACATGGGTCCCCTGACAGAGAAATCAAGGCACTCAGGGAGTACAAGGGACTAACCTGATGTCACATGGACGGGCAACGAGGGACTGAAGCCCAGGTCACCTGGCTTGCCAACCTAAGGCCCTTTCCAGATATAGGTTAAGTACCACATTCAAAATACTTAATCACGGGTATGGTGACCTAGCACCAATCCATTGGAATGGACACTGGCCATGCTGCTGAGGCAGGATCTGGAGGCCACTGCTATACTCTTGCCTTGCTGCATTGGGGAGAGGAGCTAGGATATCAGTTGTTCAGCAGCCAGAACAGAGGTGTTCACCTAAATGGACTGGCTACATCAGGTGAATTCCTTACAGGCTGCTCATCTTCATGGGATAAGAAAGGACTCAAGTCTGGGAATACACACTGCAAGAGGACCCTGAGAGTCTCTCCATTCCAATGCCCCCAGCCTCCCTAACCCATGCCCCCATTTGATACCTACCTGTTGATACTGGTTATAGCTGGGCTGAGGGTAGGTCTGTGCAGTAGGGGGTGGTGGGGGAGTGTAAGGGGCTGGGGTGTAGCCGCCGTAGCTCCCATAGTTGTAGGCAGGTGGTGGTGGAGGTGGAGGTGGTGGGGCTGTATAGCCCTGGCTGTAACCTCCCTGGTTGTAGGGTGGCTGGTTGTAACTCGGCTAGAAAGTAGGGGGAAAAACCAGGGCTCTGTGAAATAGCCAATTCAAATGAGATGAAGGAAAGACTTTTGTAAGCAGTGGGCCCATAAAGGAACTTCCTAGGTGGAGGTGGAGCTGGAGGCTGAGGGGGAGGTGGGTTAACATCATGGCAGAAAAGGCAGGGTGGGATACAGAGCTGTTATGGACTCTGAGACCTTGGGGAGCAAAGTACAAGGCATCTCTTGAAATCCCAAGTTTTCCTGCCCTGTAAAACAAAACTTACAATTCTTTGATTATCTTGTGTATTCAATAAGCTTGCAAACACAAACCAATGGGTACTCAGTAAATTGTGAGTCATTACGGAAAGAGTTACTGAGAAAAAGAATAGGTTTGGCTCAGTGGATAGAGCATTGGCCCACAGACTGAAGGGTCCTGGGTTCAATTCCAGTCAAGGACACATATCTTGATTACAGGCTCAATCCTTGGCTCTGATCAGTGTGTGGGAGGAGGCAACCATTTGATGTGTCTTTCTC